ATGTTCAAGTGTTGGACAGGATCATTATCACTCTTTCCTGCAAATTGCCCAGCTTGTTGTACCATTTGGATCACTTGAGTGGGGATCTCGATGCTGGTTGGTAGTGCACCAATGCTTGAGGTGATTTTTTATGTTCTTGGCCTTGAGTACTCATAAAAAGTAGGTGGGATGGTCACTCGTCCTTCTCCTTCTCTAGCCATTGATGGTGTTGAAGATGTTGAAGAGGCTCCTTCTTCAAAATCGAAGTTGTAGTTTGCGTCAATTTTCTCCTCCTCTCCCAAGCTTGGCTCGAGATTGGTGTGACTTGAAGGCTCATCTTCTCTTGAGCTAGATGCTGCTTCCTTCATCCCAAAGATGGGTTAACACGATGCTCCTCCTTCTTGGATGATCGCTTGCACTATCCTTAGGTTTTTTGTTTTTCTTGTAATACTTACTGGACTCATATGATAATATGCAAAATAAAAGAAACTTAACAATAAAAAGATATATAAGATTGTTAGATGTTTTTATATATGATTAAAATTCCCTGACAACATCGCCAAAAACTTGATGGATTTTGTTGGTGATAAAAGCCCTAGGATATCCTAGGGTTGTATTCGACAAGATCTTCTAATGCGTAACTACTCACACGACATCATCTATGCTTACACGAAAGAGGAGAGGATTTTCATTGGAGTAACAAGCAAAGAAAAGCAAAGCAAGGATAAGTAAAGTTGTTTACAGGTTTTTCTTGTACAATAATATGAAATCATACACATAAAGCATTCATGCATACACATAGGACATCAAAAGTCACAAGCATCAACACAACCATAATATGAAATCATAACATCAATACATACAAAGATAAACGACTTCACATTCTCGTGCAATCAATTTTGAACTAGCAAAATATAGGAAAAAGGAGTGTACCACCATCGATGATGACTGCATCTCCTTAGTTGCACCCTCTCCTACGAATATTTATAGGCCTTGGAGGCCCTTAACCCTTTATTATTATTAGTAAGATTCTTTTATTAATTTCCTAACAATGATAATTTCAACACTGGCTTTGAATTAATAGTGAACCGATTTTAGTGAGCTGAAGAATTGTCATTTCCTCCTTCTCCCTTCTCACTTCTGGATTATATATGATAAACCTTAGAATTGGAGTACGAAAGGGCCCACCCCAAAGAGCTCTCACTCGAGCAGAGAGTTTACATAAATTTTGAGTGAGTTTATGCAGCCTACTGAACTACTGAGTCCATCCCTCTATTGATAGTGGTAGAACTCGGCCAAAACCATCCTAAACCTACTAGCAAAAGGTTTATTTGACTTGGGGCGGAAGCAAGGCCTAAAGATCGTCTATTTGAGATTGGGCCTTCTTGCAGCGGCTAGGCAACTGTTGGGACCACCATTGTTTTCTTCATGGGCTGAACTCGATAGCCCATGAACAACCTCTCATAAAGATTTTATCGTGATTTGTCCAGGTTTCCATAAGCGGCGCTTGGACCCGTTGTTGGGAAGCAGCTGGTTTTTGCTTCTGCTTGGCCTGAGTCTTCCTCTTTTGGGCTTCTCTTAGACTCTACTTGTGGTTACTAGTAGGCTTCTCTGTCATTTAACCTCGTCTTTATCATGAAATATCCATATTCTTTTCCTTATAGTTCTTTTGGTCCTCTCGAGTTGTCCAATGCTTGATCCAAATCTCCTAGGTCAAGTTCTTCCTTGAAAATAATAAAAAAAAGGGTTAATATATTTGTATGGCCTAAACTTTGATCATAATAAACATCCTGACCAATATTTTCGATCTATAACATCCTGGCCCAAACTATACATCAAAGTAACGATATTGGCCAAACCTGATGTTTGACTGTTATCTTTGACTGTCAAACGTGTTGACTATCGGTCAACATGCCACATCACCGTCCGGTCATCATAAAAGTCATTAAAATATTCACAATTTACACATATTTTCTAATTTTGAATTATTAAAATTAATTTAAACAAAAATTTAAAAAAATTGAAATACAACTGCTCACCGGGGACTCCTCTCCATCAACACCCCCCAACTTCGTATGGATCTCCCCGTCCCGGCAATCGCGACTTGCTCTTCCGATCCAACCCATAGCCTAAATCCGCAATACGAAATCGATAACCCGGAGAAAAAGAAAGACCCTTGCTCCTACTCCGTCCTTTATCCGCCACCGGTCTCGATTTCCAATCCCCCTGCAAACCCCAATTGCCTAGGAGGTATAATATTATCAACAACGCCACTGTCTACTTCTCCCCCAAAATTTCAATTTCAATTCCCCTCTCTGCTTTTTACCAAATCCACAATTTCATATCTCTGCTTCTGTAGAGCTTCTTCAACCCTTCCTTCACATGAGTGCTTACTCATTCTTATGGTGTAACCCTAAAGCGTGTTCGATCTCATGCATCGCAATCGTCTACAATCCACGAAGGTCTCTGGCTAAGTAGTATGTGTGTGGTCAAACCTTCGACGATGGCGGCGGACGATGGGCGGCAACTGCTTAAACCTCGAAACCACGTGCTCCCAATGGGTAGCAGAAGATTAGGGTTCTTCGAAACTCTAAATCCCAAAGAAGCAGAGAAGCACCAGAATCCATAGGAGGAGGAAGTTGGAAATGTGGGCTTCAAAGGGGTCCGAGAAGCAGGTAGAATCGTAATATGGGCTCGGAGAAAAGGATTCGGGACAAGTACTAAATGTGCATTGATAGAAGAGGGGGAACCTTTTGCGAAATAGAGGTTGAAAAGGAGGTGAGAAACTCTCGTACATGAAACGAGCAAAAGAGAAGATACTTTCAACAAACACCACGTCACATGACATATATACTTGACGAGTCTCCAAATCATACATGTATTATCCCTTTTGCGTCGCAAGATAACTAGGGATGCCAACAAAACCTGAACCCACGGGTACCCTACCGGACCCAACTCGGTCAACGCGGGTAAAACCCGTTTTGACAGGTTTTGAGCCGAGTTCGAGTTTAAACCTGGTACACTGTTCACCGGGTTGGGTTTGGGTTTAGAGATACTCGACCCATGGATACTCGCCCACACTTATTCCGTCGCCCTACTCTCCCCAAAGCCTGCCCTAATTTTAATTTCCCCCAAACTAACTCTCCCCAAACCCTACCCGAATTTTGTTTCTTACCAAGGTAATGTTTCCTTTTTCCCAAAAGAAGTGGGAGGGATAAATTAATAATTGAAGTTGAACACACCATATTTGTTGGTTTGTTGCTCTCTCACAAATAAAAAGGGAATGAACGAAAAACAAAGAATTGTGTGCTTTTATTTAGTGTAATTGTGATTTGTTTGAATTTTCTATACTAGTATTTGATGTATGGATAATATGTATGGGGAATAGATGTTTGACTTTTATTTGATAGGAACTTGTTATTGTAAAATTTTGCCAGAAAAACCCACAGGTACCCATGAACCCACGGATACTCAGCGGGTTGGGTTTGAGTTTTCCAACCCCAATTGATTTTACAGCGAATTTTTTTTACAGATAAACCCATAAATTTGGGTTTGTCAAAATCCGACCCATTGTCATCCCTTAATATAACCAAAAAGACAAGCACGGCCCCTGGTCGCAAACTTACATAACCCCTGATGAGTATCATTTGCATAAGCCAAACAATCAAATCCCCAGATGTGATCCAACCAAATTTAAATTTAAATGAAAGTAGAAATATGAGTATATATATTTCAAGTTAATTAAAATTTAATATATATTTTAAAATTCATAAAAAATCTCTGCCAAATGCTAATTGATTGATATTCCTCACCGATCAGACAACTAGGGTCGGGCGTACACCGGTTGGACATATCTGAAGATCGGCAATGAAGAATGGAGGTGGATCAGACACCAATTGGAAATATCTGAAGATCAGCGATGGAGAATGGAGGTGGATCAGACACCGATTGGAAATATCTGAAGATCGGTGATGGAGCTTGTTGGCTAGTCAGACGTTGTTTTCTAATCGGTCTTAAATTGTCGACAATCAGTAGTGCAAATTTCATTTCAGTCATAAAACAAGTATGTGACCGTCATCAACGACCTGCGATAACTTTTTTTCCTCACAGATTTTTCCCAGAATCTTGTGTGTCAACCCAGTCCTTCTCCTCTCCCACGCTTACAAATTATTTTAAATATACTGGAATTTCAATTAACTCGAAGATGTAGAGGTTTGGTATGAAACAAATCACATCGTTGAAATACAATATAAAGAAATGAGCAAAAGGATAAATTTGTTACTTTTTTACAAAATATGTGGACAAAAAATAATAAAAACATAGACAACAAATAAATACTCTCATTCGGAAATGAAGAAGAACAAATGGTCTCCAATCCCATTAATGATAGTTGGGAACTTCCCAACCAAACCATAGAGAAGCAAAGAAGAAAATGAGATAAAATCCTAGCTAGAACCTCTTAAGGCCCCTCTCGATCCAAACATCATAGGCCGCTCACTCTCATCCACACCAAGCCAAAGCCAAGATCAAACATCCGCCTCACATCACAATTCCCTCCTTCCCCACCAGCAATTTGTATTTGTTCCCTTTTTTAATAGGCAAGTATCATTTTGGGTCATGCAAATTGAACTCGATGGTGCCGAGCTAGCCCACATATCTGATATCTTCCTCTTTCCGTTTCCTTTTTTGATGTCGTCATAATTCATGTTTCTTTTTCCTTTTATCTGCTGGAGAAGTGAAACCAGGGCCGGGGGCGGGGGCGAGGCAGAAGTGGTTTAACTTTTTCTGAAACAAGGAACAAACTAAACCCACACAAGTTGAAGCCCCAAGTAATCCCTCACAGTCACAGTGACAGAACAAAAGAGACACGTTCCCTTGTCACTTACCACTCACCTTACACTTTCAAGGGCACACCATTATTCCTCTCTACTCTACTTGCAGCCTGCAACCATCCCATCCCTCCGCTTCTTTCTGCTTCAACGCTACCTAGGATAGGAGGTCAAGTAAGTTGAAGCAGCACCATGAAGCCCAGTGAAGAATACCCTTTGCAGTCTACAGCGGAAGAAGCTCATACAACAGTAGCATCATCTAGCCATAGCCTCAACACCACACCACAGAGCCACCATGAAGACAAGAAAGCAAAGGGCTGCCATGGCACAAACCAAGACGAACAAGAAGCAGCCGTCCAGGAATTAGACAGTAGCATTACTGCAAGGGAAGAAGCAGTGGTGGAAGAAACTGCAACAACAACCACATTGCAGCAACAAGAGGAAGATGGTTGGTGTGGGAGGGAGAAGCTGAAGAGGCACAGGGTACAAGTGGCGGGGCGAGTTTGGATCCCTGACACTTGGGGCCAGGAAGAGCTGCTCAAGGATTGGATCGACTGTTCTGCCTTCGACGCTGCTATCGTGTCGAATGGCATCATGTCTGCTCGTGATGCCCTCGCAGCTCAGCAGGGCTTGAGGACACCAAGCCCCCAAGGATTAAGCATTGGAAACAGGTGTTGAAATGATCCAATACTATTCAACATTAATAAGCAGTGCATGAACATTCATCCGTTTTTGACTTCTTCTGTATTTCCCTTTTCATGTATTTGTGGCATCTTCATGCTTCCTTCACAATGAGAGTTACCCTTTCCACGTAGTGTTGAACACACCTACTTGTTATGCTGTTATGAAACTTACTTCAACTCAGAAAAAAGGACGAGAAGACCAATGCTTAAATCACACTTAATATAGAAACTTGCAACAAAGTATCAAACTCCAATTGCGGTTCTGCTACAGTTTTGGTTGAATCGTTACATTTGAGGACGAGTTTAAGAAATAAGACAGCAGTGTAAGAGAATTGTACTTCGGAGCTAACAGATATTTGAGCTATATCGTCTCATAACGAAAATGCTGTCACTAGAATGGAACAACAATTCTTCCAGTTTAGATAAATGATACACATCACTGACGCTTGCTTGATCATGCACAGACCAAAAATTCTGTATGTCCATCAATTACTACTGGTTGCCAGTTCCCATATCTTTATCGTGCCATCATCACTTGCAGAAGCCATCACCCGATTTTCCTGCCAAGGTGAATTCAGTTTATCAACATTCAACCCTCAAAGCTACAATGCCAAAGTTCATATTTTCGAGCATCTAAAGATAAAGAACAGAGGCCATAATACGAAAGCTGGCAGGGAATTATTATGTTATATAATCTAAACATCTTGACTCATAATTTTGCAATCTTTACACTTGTTGCAGTATGTGAGAGATACTAGATTTCAAGTTCAAGAGTGGCAGGACTCGGTAAGACTGCATCAGTGGATTGCAATTTGTGAAATACCCAGTGTGAAATTACCCGATTCAAACTTAACTGATGATAATGCTAATTTCAGTATCAAGAAGATTCAGTCTTAAGTTGTAAAGACTATGATCTTACCCCAGGACTCCATTGCACAACGTTTACGTCCATATCATGGGCTTTTTCCTTTTTCAACAACAGTCTATAAGAAGGACCATCAACCTGAAATGAGCAGAGAGATCATTTAGATGAAGATGTTTGGAATATAAGAAGCCAGGGATCTTAAATATTTAAATTTTTGCAGTTAAGGCTTCACTAAGCAGCATAGGCACCCTTGATCATATTTTAGTATTAGTGGCAATAAAAGTACAAAGCTTTACAACCCCGACACTTCTTACATATAAACGAATTTATAACCCAAAACGATGACTAGTTTGGCTGCAATATCACATAAGCCAACGACTACAGATAATAATGTCACAAAAGAAGTCAACGACAAACCTAGATGCTAGACAATAAAAATGCAATAAAGAAAAAGGATCATTGCAACTGGAATAACAACAGCAGTGGTTTTCCAATCCATGAGTAAACTAAAATTAAGGATCAGAGAGTTAAGTACCACACTGTCTTTGCTTTCAACAAAAAATCGAATAGCATCATCTGCTGCTCCACTAGCTATAATACCTTCCCTGAGATATACAAAAACCCAATGAGGATCAGTTTCATGATTTAGAAGGAAGTAATAAGCAACACAAACGAAACACAGGTGATTTAGACCAGGAATGGGATGTAATTGAAATGCAGATACAATTTAATTACATGAGAGAAGCTTCTTCTTTTTGGTTCGTGTGTGTACATCCATGTAAATAACTTGCACAAAAATTGTCCAACAAGTGAACACAAAAACCACACGAGCTAGCTTGCTACACTGTTTACGTTCGTTAAGATTAGAGAGCCACCACGACAAACCATTATTTAACAGCTGTTTTTTATTGCCCAATAAACAAAGAAATATGAAGTATTACAACATAAAGTGGTTGGTTATTGAATCTGTATGTAACTAGGGAAACAAGGATGACTGTTCTGGGTGTTACCATAATGGATCACCCGAGACTAAAAACAGTCTTTCGTCCCACTTCCCTTTGTTGGCTGAGATAACAAATATGCCAAGGAGTTGTGAGATGGCATTATGCTGCCATTTTAGTACTGTCACTCAGAGAGAGACTTAAATAACCGACACCAAAGACACAAAATCAAGAGATTGCCTGAACATATCAGCTTCAAATAGATGTCACTATTACCTTGACCAGTGAACTGAAAAGATTGTTCGATCATGATACCCTGAGAGGGTAGAAAGATGTTTCCTGAAAACCAAACCAGACCTTTGTAAAATATTGTACCAATAATAAAAATAACATCATCACAGGAAAATGATTATATATTAGAGGCACACGCTAAGTTACTGAACCATAAGCTGAGGAAGTTGTTTCAAGTTCATAGGATGTCCCAGAAAAGGCCACAATCCCACAGATGCCTTATGTAGAGACCATGGCCTAGCACAACAGACTGCTTTTATTAAAATTCCCAATGTTGCATTAAATCCTCTCCACTTCGCCATGCTTCATGGCACAATCTATTTCGTAGGGGTCATATACCAATCTTATGGTAGCATTGGAAAAACTATCACGTGCTCAAACAACACGAATAGAATGCTTCACTCACCAAAGAACTTGATTGTTACCAGACCTCATTCCCTCAATATCTGCTTCCCATACTTTTAAGGTAAGATCGTCGCTGGAAAAAAAAAAAAGATTAGGCTCTTTTAGTTCATTTTGCTTCTGTGCCAGATAAAAGACCCGGCTATCCATGCACTTGACAATCATCTCATTAACAATTAATGAGGAACTATGTTCAACATACCTACATGTAACCATTTTGTCCCCGCCAGCATTGAAAGAAATGGCCCAAACAGTAGACGAATGGCCACTGAAAAGGAGGGGAGAAAACAATTGAGTTAAACCAACTGTTTCCACAGCAGCAGTGCAGTATTGATGAGTCAATATAAGATGATCTCAGGGGTAACGATATCAGGACGTAAAGTATAATAGCAGAAGAAACCCCATGATTGTGTGTGTAACACATATATGGAAGAAGAAAAAATATCTGAGGAAGGGGTTTAAGGTAGTACTTGCTAGATTCACCTATGGTTTGAATGCAGTGCCAATCACCAGTATCATCCTCAGCCCAGACCTGATCGAGAATTTTCTCTTAGAATTTCAGTTCAATTTTTATATTGATCACTAAAATGATTAAATGAAGAGCCGCAATGACCAGCTATTCGTGCAAACTATATAACTAGGGAGGATTTCCGGCATGAAGTACCTTAATGGTATTATCATAGCTACAGGAAAATAGAATGTCCATGGTTGGATGCCACTTAATCATCTTAACATCTTGTGTGTGGCCCTGCAACACTGAAGCACACTCGAATTCATTCCCTGGCATCACTTCCCAAATCCAAACAGTTTTGTCTCTACTACATGTGGCCAATAGAGATTCAGATGCATTCCAAGACACACTTTTGACTTCATTTTCATGACCCTGTTTGCAGACCAAGACCACCAATAGAAAACTAAGTGAGGACATTCCAAAATTCAGAGTTTCTTATCTAGCCAGAAAAAGAGAACAACTGTCCTGACAGCTAGCCAGACAATCCTAAGAATCACAAGCACATAAGGGTAACGAAGATATAGTAATCATACCTCTAGAGTGGATACACATTGAAAATCACCCCCAACATTCTCCCAAATGGCAGTGGTCGCATCGAAGCTGGCTGTAGCCAATAATTTCCCAGAAGGGGACCAGGTACACGATCGAACTGTCCTAGTATGTGTTTCTTCCAAAACTGCCTGCACGATCATTCCCAATATGAGTTCCAATGCGAAATCAACTAACTCCGCTGATCATTAGCAACAGCAAACATCCAATACTGAAGCTAATTTCTACAGCTCATCATCTCAATTAAGCTAAACAGATTAGTTGATACTCTAGACGTTCACGTAACGATATGCATACTGAAAAAATTAGTTTGCTTCAAGTAATTGATATGGGAAAGAAGAGAAACCATGGAAGCTTATGTTATTATGACTCTCGCCTAATCCTTACCATACATAACAGTACCCAAAATGAGAGAAAAGACAAACAGAAAAGGAAGAGGAAGTCAAAACCTTGCAGTCCCAAGAACGAGTCAAGGCACTCCGTTCCCAGATTCGGACAGTCTTATCACCACTACAGGAAGCAATAACCGGCTGCGCGTCGTCAGTTCCGGTGGCCGGATTCCAGGCAAGACTCCAAACCCTATCGGTGTGACCGCTAAGTGTCTGAATCTCCTTGAGCTCGAAGTTGGAGCCCTCGTCGTCAAAATCCATGGCGCCGGGGATCTTCAAGAATGAAGCTGTGAATTTGGTTGGGTTTGGCTATTACTCTGAGCTGCAAGTATCAAAGTACAAAATGGCAATAATGACCAAAACTATTGGCGCTCGTCGACCAGGAAGGAAGGAAGGAGTACGACGAATTTCTTCCTAACCACGTCCTGCCGCCTTCAACAGTGAAAACTGAAAAGGTTGGTTACTAAACAAGTCTTATACTATGAATCGTTAACGAATAAGGCCCTATAATATGATTACATAAAACGAAGGAGGGTCTTTATGTAAAGAGATAAAACATTGGGAGGTTAATCGGGAAAAAGTAGTAATTGATTAGAGGGAGAACAGGTCCTGGGCCATGACTGAGCAATAGATGAGGCCCAAAAAGTCGGGTCGATCCGGTACGCTGGCTTAACTCAATTCAATTCTAAAAAAAAGGGGAAAACAACCCCTCCTCCATCGCCATCGTCAAAAGTTGTCTGGTCGCAGACGCATCTCTTCTTTCCCGTTTCCCTGTTCTCTGCAACCCTAGAGAGGACGTATCCGAACTGTGTAATCCAGGCTAGTCATCATGGAACGCGTCCCGCGTAGAGGTCAAAGTGGCCTTTTCGAAGGCATCTACAAGGTTTTCATGCGCCGTACCTCTGTCTATGCCACCTTCGTCCTCGCCGGTGCTTTTTTCGGAGAAAGGGTACTTTTCTATTACGTTTCGCTTATGTCGATGATTTATTGAATTCGCTGCTCGTTTCGATTCTGCGTGTTGATCGTTGTGAATGCTTGAGATTTGGCAGAGGAATTGATTTGGGCGAATTGTATGGAAAATGATCTAGCTTTCCTGATGTTCAGAGGTCGCTTTGAGCTGTTTTTTGCGAAAGCCTTCGACCATTAGTACTTAAGATCAGTTATCGACAACACTGTGACGTGGATCTGAACGGCATCTTCTCCCTGAGCTTTTCTTATGCATTAGGTTTCAGAGTTCCTGATTGAGATGTTTGGTAGCAGTCGTTTATCTGTAAGAATTGACTGTTGAAGCCTGCGATCTAATAATAAACTCCTCCCAGTAATTAAAAAACTCTTCATGTGGTTGGTGCAGGCTGTGGATTATGGAGTTCATAAGCTGTGGGAGTACAACAATGTTGGGGTATTGCTCTAGATTTTCTCCACCTCTCTTCTTTGAATTTATCTGCAATGCACCTTCGTTACTGCATTGATTGCGTTGTAAAACAAATGACTTGCGAAAGAAGTTAATATGAGATGGGAATTGGGATGAACTACATTGGCACGTCTAATTATGACCTTACTAACCTGATTGTTTCCTTTCTTTTTGGTCTGCCATATGTATGGATGGCAATATTTTGTGATCTATTCTTCATAGTGTTTTAACATTCGCGAGTAGCAAAGCTGTGGAACTTTATCAGTTTTATTAAGTTCCGGTTCAGCATGGACCTGTTTGCTGAGAGTGAATTATCTAGCCATGACATCTAGTGAATAATTGGTTTTATGCGATGAACATTTCTCACACTAGGGTCCCAACGGCTGTCAGGTTTCATGGAAATGAAATGCTTTTCCTTTTCGTTCCCATCTGAACGAATACTGTTTCAGCTATGTGCATATGTTGTCTTCTCTTAGTGCTTTGTATTTAGTTGACACTGCCTGGTTCAGAACTAGCACAATTTAGTTATTTGTTCTTCCTTAGACTTGTTCAAACCATTGCTGTTTGCGTTCCTCCAACATGATCGCGTTACAAGTCATTGATCTTCATCCTCTCTACACTATTGTCTATTGTAACCTGACCTTGTGTACAACCGCACCCTCAACTTTGATAACGTTACTAGTTCACCTGTGGTTTTTGTCCTTGGTATCATCTGTGCTATCATATTTTTATTGTGTTTTGGTCCCTTGTTTATTTTTCGTGCTGCAGAAACGCTATGAAGACATTTCAGTTTTGGGACAAAGACCAGCAGAATGAGGGCGGCTGAGTTCCCGTCCGTGGCTGTTTGGATTTCCCATATTTGATGATTTTGGGAGTAAAACCATGATGTTACCAGAGTAGCAATAAGTGTACTTTTATGGTGGTTAAAACCAGACTTGAACGAACGTCCACTGTTTTTCCTTCTTTTATTGCCGATTTTTGGGGCTGTATGCACTAACAGTTAATTAACTCGGAACATTTGCTATTTGTTTTGTGTAGTTTTCTCTATTTCAAATTTCCTTCAACGAAAGTGAAAGTAGTAAGGATAATTTGATCTTTACAATTAGTTATTTATTTCATATAAAAAATATCAATTCCAGGATTTGAACTCAGGTCTCTTCAAACAAAGACAACAATTACACTAAATAAATTTATTATATCTTTTTTAATATAAACCATACACGAAGTTAAACTTTGAAAATATGAAGACTTTCTCATCATGATTAGCAAATCACTAAGTCTATCGTATGTATTTTCAATTTAATATAATTTTTTTTTATCTTTGTTCTTATATCTTTCTAACTTCCTCTGAAATTCCCTAGATCGTGCTACTTAGCACTACTTTTACTTCCCAGTACAATACCGCCTTTGAAAATCAATCTTCCGGTATCTCTTGGTACTACGATTTTATTGTTGGGGATTTAAGTTGGGCAAGTAGACGGTTTCAACTATGTATCAATATATGGCGAATAGAATGGAGTTCAATAAATGAAGTTGCAAAATGAGAATTAGAAATTGAATTTTTGATTGAAATATATGCCTCTTGAGATTGTAGATAGAGTGGATAAAAATTAGGTTGTACAACGGAGGGTGGTGGGTATTGGATCTTTATGTTTATGGTTTTTGGCTTTTTGCAGCTATCACAACCTATTTTTATCTTAAACGAGGAATCATTGATTGATTTACTAAAGTAGGTTGATTTTTTATTCAACCTACCGGAAATGATAGATAAGGAGTGTCTAATATTGTGCCTTATTAGTTTGATCAGTCTATTAGTATATTGGAGGTAACCCTAATTTGCCGTTTGCTCCAAGTTTCGATGGTCACCTCTTAACAGAGTTATTAGTATATAGTTGATTTGAATCAACAACTCTCCATTTCTTTTTGATTAGTGGCATATTTTTCCTAAAAGGAGAGCATTGAACTATTTATGTAGGATTGTGAGGTTTAAAAGATTTAGTATCAAAGAATCTGTTGGTCGTGTGTGAATTTCATTGAGCTTTTATACTCTATCTTTCTTGACAATCAACTAACCAATAATATTTTAACGGAAGCTTAATTAACACTATGAAAATGGGATCAATGATACATTTTTATATTTCATACTCTTAAATGATTATGATATTTCTCCGAATGTTCGACCTATATATTCTTTCTTTATGTATCATTTCGTTCGAAGAATTTTCAATAAAATTAAAAAGATTGATAGATTTAAACGTAACATAAAAATATAAATAATCAAATGATATAAACTTGGCCGGGTTATAACTTATATAAACTAGTAAAAAAATTTGGTCATTTGACTCTCTATGTTTCGTTTGTTCGCCTGAACTCTTTCCTTCACATTTGGACGAGTGAAATCACAAACACCAAGGACATTTCTCAATGAGCTGCTGCTGGTGGTCTGGAGAGTACACTGACAAGTACCATTCCTTTCCTTTAGGTCATTGAACAGTGAGGCACAATCTATCAACAAAAAATATGTCAACAATAGCAGTTCATTACAAGAATCATGTTTTTTATACAAGGAATCTGGTGCAAAATTTGGATTCAGTTTTATTTTGTATCCATATAAAAAGAGACGAAAATGAACAATAGAATACAGACAGCGACTAATCCGCCCTAATACATGGCAGGAAGAATCAGTGTCATTCAAGTATATCATTATTTAACCATGAAAGAGCTTTTACAGCTGCATCCTCCCACTGCACTTGGATTTTCAGTTACCTGCACAATAAACCCCAACTTAGTTCCGACCCCATTTCAAAATCACAGAGCAAAACATTCAAAACGAGTATTAGCAAACGGTAAAAGCAGCGGCTAATAATGTTGGTGATGGTTGCATGTATCTCCTATCTCTAATGACCGACATGCACCAGCTCTGTTTCATCTACAAAATGCAGACCTAATGCAATCTGCCAAATACTGACGATCCTAGGGCTGAGCTGTGATCTAATAGCTACAAGAATTAGCAGTGTTATTAGCTATTGTCTACAAGTTAGCCACCCATGAGCACGGCCCAAACCAAGTCATTCCAGAGACTCGTGCTTTGAGAAAGCGCTTCTGAAATTAGGCTAGGCTCTTAGCGGGGCAGATCATTCCAAGAGGCATTGATCAACCTTATTCATCACTGAATCTGAAGGTCTTAAATATTTTGGCCACACATAGTTAGGTAAAGAAGAAGGCTCTGACCATCCAAAGTATATCTCGCTTTTTAATTGATCAAATCCTTGCCAAGAGGCATTGATCCACCTTATTCATCATAACAATTCCCTGACAAGAACTGGACATTTCCAGCAGATGCCAGGGCCAGAATAAAGAGTACCCAACATCATTGTTGCATCTATAAGCAATGTCACACATCATGAACAGAACACCTTGAACAAATACATTTGTCCAAAGTATATCTCGCTTTTTAATTGATCAAATCCTTGCCAAGAGGCATTGATCCACCTTATTCATCAGCGATAACAATTCCCTGACAAGAACTAGACATTTCCAGCAGATGCCAGGGCCAGATTAAAGAGTACCCAACATCATTGTTGCATCTATCAGCAATGTCACACATCATGAACGGAACACCTTGAACAAATACAATTGTAACACCCAAAGCTGAGCTAACTCATTTGCTAGAAAGCGTCTGGAGACTCATACTATTATTCTAAATCGAGTTTTCAGATAAGCGAAATTAAGGGCTCGAACCACTTTCAATGTTTCCTCATCCTTTTATCCTACAAGCAAACGTGAATTGACCCCAATGGCACAACAACCAGATTGAGAGCACACTAATATAGATCAAGCACAATACATACAATACAGAAGGAAACTTACTTGGAATGCAGATCGAATGAGTTCCTCTACATAATCTATGGTTGCCCCTTTAACAAAATCGTAAGATATATTGTCAACAACTAGTTTCACTCCTTCCTTCTCAAATACTCTGCAGAGGTAAGTGCAACAAAAAGATAACACAGGTTCAGATTGACAAAAGCCCGGTGTCCAAATCGTGCTCTAACCAGCAGAACTTTACATCCACAGCAAACAAAATGCTAAAAGTGAAGAGGATAAAGCACCTGTCATCAGGGTTCAACTTATCGTCCAAGTCAAAAACGTATTGGAAACCTGAACATCCACCGGTTTCTACTCCTAAACGAAGCATTTTCTCCTCTGCTGATGTTTCACTCGCTTGCAGTTCTTTCATTTTCTGCAAAGGCAACCCAATACCTCTATGAAAACCTTCTTCATACATCATATTAGAATGAAATCAGGTTCCAAATAAGGCCGAGAAAGGATACGAGAACCACAATCAGCTCTAGCGAAACCACCAAATGATGATAGAAATAGACATGTCCAGTTGACAAACGAATTCGAAGGGATAAGCCAAATCATAAAGCAAATATACTACAAAAGTAAGCTTCATAAAGTGAAACCATGAAGCGGTCTATCGATAATATTTCTATCGTTAAGTTGACTGGCAGAACTGAGAGGTTTTGCGGAAGGAACAAAAGCGAAGAGAAAGTAACCCCAATTGAAGCACCAAGTTAGACCAGATCACAATCAGAGCATCAAGATATTCGAAAGGAAAAGCCAACGAGATAGACGATTGAATATATACCCGGATGCAATTTTCGGTCAGGTGAACGGATTCTTCGAGGGATGGAGCTTGGCGGAGCAGAGAGGAGGAAGAAGAACTTAGAAGCCTGTGGTTCTGCCGAATCCGAGCGGCGAAAAATGGTGTAATCCGGTGAATCAACGAGAATCTCGACATGGGAATTTTTTTCTTTTCTTCGACCCGGTCCTGGTTCGCGTAATGACTATAATATCATGGCCTCGACAAGCTAATCTTCTATTGCAAAGCTGCCGACTTTCTTCTTCTGGTTTATTCTCTGCTCTCTAGTTTGGAATTCGGAACAGAATCAACGGAAACGAAGAGCGGAGAAGAGGAGAGGCTCGTGCCTCCCTCCCACTCCCCGGCCACGTAAGCTACTGGGCAACGTGGGCGACGGGACACCGCCAAATCGGCCGCCAGTATTGCGGATATGTAATTAGGCCTGTCGGTTCGGTTTCGGGTTTTCGGTTTAACCCGAACCCGAACAGCTATTTGCATTCTCGGTTTCGGTTTTTTCGGGTTCAACCCGGTCTCCACAATGGCGGTTTCGGTTACTGAAACCCGAAAACCCGAGAGCAACCCGAAAACCGAAAAATCTCACGCTGTCGTTTTGGGGAAGAAGAGTCGGCCTCAGCCCTATCTCTCGACTCCCTCCACCTCTCGTTCTCGCAGGCGCAGCCGGCGCAGTCTCTTCGTCTTTGCCAAACAAAACAGAGCTCCCTCGCCAGTCGCCACCATCATCGTCCTCGCCGCCAGCGGCCTCGTGAGGACCTCTGACCGCCATCGAATCCCTCGCCGGCCATCATCGTCCTCGCCGCTTCGCTCTTCACCTCGGGAAGGAGAGACCCAGTGCCCACATTATTCCGACGACTCCACCATGGAATCCCAGTGAGTCTCTTCGAAAAATTCTATTGCTTCAACTTCTTTGTTACTGGGTTCTGCTTCTCTCTCTGTCTCTCTCTGTCTCTGAGTCGAGATTGTGTTGTGGGCGAAGTAAAATTTCATCGCCAGCAGTTTCTGAGTCAAACCCAGAGAGGGCAAGGGGGAAATCTTTGTACCCGAATCCGAAAGATTCCGCCTTTAGGATTCTGATTCTCGTTTCTATAGTCTTCTTCCCCTCTCCCCGTTCTGGTTCTACATCAGTGAGTGAATATTGTGCAGTTTATAGTTTATACAGAGAAACCTCAACCTCTGGTTCCATTTCACAACCCTCTCTCTCTTTTGGTTTCATTCATTACCTTCTTGACATTGGGCATGAAGTTCCTGAATACAAAAACCATGAGAAGAATCCCGTTCGACATTGTCCATCCTACGATTTCTGAACAAATAAATGCCACATGTGATTTGCAGAGGCTGCCTTTAACTTTTTCTTCCTTTCAACTATTGGATTGAATACTGCTAAATTTTTTACAGGCCACACATAGATACCCACTGTTTCTCAATTTGCTACTTTCTTTCGTTATCGTTCCTATATTAGTGTCATGGTTTAATAGGTTACGCTAGATAATATGAGGATATAGAACTGAGTTCAAAACCCCATTTGGAAATTTGTGAAATCTGCTGTTCCCACAATGCTGGGATGGTGGTGGGGACTCTTGCATTCAATTATAATGGGATCTCCTCCTCTCCTTGGCTGTGTAAATACGAAGCACTGAAGCAGTAACATCCTTCGAGATTAGGTTATATGTTTACTGTCTCAAGGGAAAGATTATGTTATTTCTAGTTTGTAGATGAACCTGATGAATGATCTTTAATGTCTGCTAAGCGCTACATGGCTCTGGCTACCGGGGTAGCTCAGGTCTGTTTATGGCGCCTACAAGGAAAATTTGGTAACTGTTTAGTATAATATTTTCTGAATCTGTTGAGCCTTGGAAGTTGAAAAACGTATGTAGCTGTGAGATGGACTCCTGAAACAAATGGTTATCTATCTTAGTCTGTTTGTTTGTTTGTTGATAGATCCATAGAATCCCACTTCTTTTGATACACTGTTATGGTGTTTAAGTGGTTCACACTTCACTGTAAAGGACTATTTCAAGACTAAGTGTTTAGGGATGGTATCGCTCACCACTGATACTTGGACTTCTTTGTCCAATCTCAATTATATGTGCATTACTGCTCATTTCATTGGTAGAGATTGGAAATTGCATAAAAGAATTATTAACTTTGTCCAAGTTACAAAACATTCTGGAAGTGAAATTGGGAAACAGTTGGCTAGTTGTTTGGTGGAGTGGGGCATTAGGAAGGTCTTTTGTATAACAATGGACAATGCTAGTGTCAATGATGTGGTTGCTATCCATATGAAGGAACAGTTGAAAGAGTGGGGATCAGATATTTTGGATGGAAAATATCTGCAGATGAGGTGTATAGCTCACATTATTAATTTGGCTGTGAAGGATGGGCTCAAAGAAACTGGTAAATCTGTGGAGCGAGTGAGAGAGTCTGTGAAGTGGGTTAAATCTACACCAGCTAGGAGCAGAAAATTTAAAGATTGCATTGAGTTTGAAAAGATAGCTTCGAAGAAATTTGTTTCGTTGGATGTAGCTACAAGGTGGAATTCAACGTATCTGATGTTGGAATCTGCAAAGCCATTTGAGAAAGTATTTCAGACATTAGCTAGAAATGATAAGAAATTCAAGAAACATCTCAATGAAAAAAGATATGGAAATGAAAGTCTTGGTATCACGACTTCTGATGATTGGTCTAGTGTGGGACGGTTGATTGATTACCTGAAGCTATTCTATGATTTGACTGTTCGAGTTTCTGGGACTTCATATGTGACTTTACACCTCTTGTTTGATGAGGTATGTGAAATGTATACTATGATATCTGAGTGGGCTGATGGTATAGATTTTGAGGTGTCTTGCATGGCTGATAGAATCAAGTCCAAACTTGCTAAGTATTGGTTTGAAGATGAGTTGGAGAATTCAAAGATGAATCGGTTGTGTTATATGGCAGTCATATTAGATCCTAGGCGGAAAGTTGAATATCTTGAACAAGCTTTGAAAAAGGTGTATGGTGAGAGCAGGGGTAAAGCTTTGGTCGAAGAGGTGAAGGATGAAATGCGTCTTCTGTTTGACCATTACAAGCATAGGCTCGGACTTCCTGGCAGTTCTCCCATTGTTATTCAGGAAGATGTGCAAGAACCTAGTGGAAGTGGGGATGGGAAGAAGAAAGGGAAGATTTGGGGTGATTTCAGGAAAATGAAAAGAGATGCCATTCTGAAAGGAACCAGAAAAAGTTCCAAATCTGAGTTTGATAGGTACCTTGAGGAGGAGGAGGATGATGAAGTGGTTACACGAGCATTGGTGGGTTCAGAAGAAGATGAATACAAATTTGACATCTTGGGATGGTGGTCGCGAAGTGGGATGAAATATCCTACTATTTCCGAGATGGCTAGGGATATTCTTGCTGTTCCTATTTCCACTGTTGCTTCTGAGTCGGCATTCAGCACAGGAGGTCGAGTTTTAGATTCGTTTAGGACCTCCTTATCCCCTGAAGTTGTGGAGGCGTTGATTTGTTGTGAAGATTGGATAAGATCTTCAGACTCCGAGTTGGTGGCTGATGGAGAAGATGAGGGTGATGAAGTGGTATTTCAAAATGGTAAGGTTTTAATCTTTCTCTTTATTCTTATATTTGTTATCTTGATCAAGTCATATTCTAACAATTTGTTATTGTTTATGTTATCCAGTATATGTAGCTTTTCAAGCTCGGAGTGCAAGTGAACCTGCAGGACCTAGTGGAAGCTCTCGTGCAGGACCCAGTGGAAGCTCTCCTGCTACCCATGTTTTGGTCTCGAGTCCTACTATGTCACAAGTGGAAGAAGACTATGTCGACAACAATTCCGATGAGAATGATGAGACTTATGTAGATGTAGAGCCTGATGAGGAGTGATAATGGTAGTAGTATTTATCTTGTATGGTGGATGAATTTTTATTTTACTTGGATGTTATCATTTGAGAATTGTAAAACTAATGTGTTTAATTACGAGTTGAAGATAATCTCATCTATGATTGTCGTATTTTATGTTGAACAAAATTATTTATAATTTTGCGCCAAGCACCAAACATTTTTTTGCATATGATAGTTGATATACCTTCAATTTTGGACCTATGGTATTACTAAAACATTTAATTATACGAAAATCCACAATTAAATAAGATATGATTAAGTTACGTATAAAATATGTTTAAGTATTTTACTTTGTCTCTAAAATACTAATACTCTTTAATAGTTAATAGTATGTCTATAGTTATAGAATACATAAAATTAAATATTTCAATAATTAACTAATATTTTAATAATAAACTAATATGTAAATATTAGTTTTATACTGTCCATGTCCCATAAAATTAAACATAATGGTAAAATAAGAATGTACAAATAATAAGAATAAAATTGTTTTTTACAATGTAAAATTCAAATCACAAAACTAAAAAAAAAAAACTCAAGCCGGTTCGGTTTCGGTTTCACCCGAACCGAACTAAACCCGCCAACATCAAATTCGGGTTCCAGTACCCGAAACCCACAGAAGAACATTTCGGGTTCGGTTTCGGTTTGTGAGGGGGCGGTTTCGGTCTTTTCGGTTTTCACGGGTTTCGGGTTCGGTTACCCGACCCGAACCGACACCGACAACCCTATATGTAATTGCAGCGTGGTATTGGGCTTTGCACTTTTGGGCTCTAATATTGGCTTGAGAAAGGTAGAGAAATGACGAATCCGCACCAGCTAAATATCTTATCTATACGCGAGCTAAGGGGTCGTTTGCTTCAAGGATTTGGTACATGGATTTGGTACCAAAAAACCAACTATCAAGGATTTCGGTACAATCCGTTGTTTGCTTGCACCTTTTTTGGAGACCAAATCCGTGGGGCCCACGGATTTTAAGGGTCCAAATCCGTGGACCCCACGGACTTATAAATCCCACATGTTGATGTGGGATTTGGAATATGGCATAAATCCTTGATGAGATTTTACTCATATACCCTCATGCACTTTTAATATTCCAAGGTTGCCCTCAAATTTAACTATTATACATTATAATTAACAATAAATGAATAATATAAACGTTCAATTAATGTGCAAACATGAGTTAGATTTTTTATATCATTTCTTGTGTTCTAGTTTTCTTTGACCTTTTCATGGAACGTGTAATTCTTTGTTCTCCCGATTCTAATATATGTCCACGTGGCAACATTATGCTTATTAGTATGTATTCTCCTTGTTTTGTGTACATATCATAAACATGTCAAACATATAGAAAATGATAGTAAGGTAATTTTGAAGTTTTGTCCTTGTTTTGTGTACATATCATAAACATGTCAAACATATAGAAAAGGGCAGTAATGTAATTTTTGACTTCCAGTAGTAAATCCCACACCTTTAAATCCATGATAAAAACATCCCAACAAACAAAGGATTGTTACAAATCCATGATGCCTCAAATCCTTGATAAATCCTTGGGTTTTTAAATTACAAAACCCTCATTTTTAAATCCATGAAGCAAACGGCCCCTAAGTAAAATAAAACACTTGCTCACATCAGTCTGCTTGGCTGTTTTTACACCTTCTCGTGCGGATTCACTTGGGTTGGGTGTCATTAAAGTCCGGATTACACAGCCCACTCCCGCATGTTCACTTGTTTTCCATCTCAAGACGATTCTCTTTCTCAAAACTATTATAAGTGGGTTTCAATTCGAGTATCTCACCACAAAAAATATATGTTACGAAGTGTTACTGGTTGCTCCAAAGATGGCTAGGTAAGAGACACGATTATTTTTTTAATTAAATTCTTAAAATTTTATTATGATTTTGTTTAGTTAGTAATTAGTGAATTTTTTATGTAGTGATTTTAGACAATTTGAACTAATCATTTGGTAGAAATCGAAAAAAGTACAGAACAATTTGGGCGTCGATTTCGTTGGTGGTAAAAGCTTTCAGTTGGCAGTTCCATGCAAGGTGACATATCACCAATTTTGTGAGAATCTAGTTCCGAGGATACGGCGTAATGACGAAACAGTACAGGATAGTGATAGGATCACAGGTTTCACTTACAAACTTCCAAAATGGCATAATGGTGTTCTATTTTATTATGCGATTTCTACTGTGGATGATGATAGCTTGAATGTGCTTTTCAATTTTATGGCACAAAACCCTTATCGATTGGGTGTTGAGATATATGCTGAAATTAATCGGGGTGAAGATGAGACATGGAGTGTGCCATCTGATCATGACTATGATGACAGAGAGGAGGAGGAGGAGGAAGAAGAAGAGCCTAATGATCCTCTAGATTATTACTTGCAGGATAATGAAGAGGACGATGAATTATCTTATGCTTATTCATATGGCGTAATTCCAGTGCCTATTGTTGCTGGTTTCGAATGAGAATTCTACGAGGGGCATATATTTCACTCCAAACACTTTGCACAGGTGGCGATTAAATATCACGCACTACAACACAACTTTCAGTATGTTGTACTGGAGTCGACACCTTTAATCTGGAAAGTCAAATGCTTGAAGCACAAGGATGACAATTGTGCTTGGATGGTGCAGTTTGGATGTCGAGATGTTGGAAGCAAATGGACTGTGAGAAAGGCCGGGTGGATGTATTCTTGTAGCAGTACGCTCAACCGGAGGATCATCATCTTGATGTCGATGTCATATCTGAGTCCGTGAGACATATGATGCGTGCCCAACCAAATCTGAGTGTTCTAACTATGCAGGCCGAATTGAAAGATAAGTTTCATATGTAAGTTACTTACAAGAAGACTTGGTATGGAAAACAAAGAGAAGTTGCATGGAATTGGGAAGAATCCTACGATTATTTGCAAACGTTCTTGTGGGTGGTAAAGAGAAAAATGTCAACATTAGTGATTGATTGGGTAAGAATTCCTTCATCACAGCCAGGTCCCATGGCTACTATTTCGTACGCTTCACCTGATCTTTCAGCGAGTATCCTGAGCATTTGGACCTTGTATAGATGGATTCAAGAATTGTCCAGGAGTCATGGTTGTTGATGGAACATTTATTACTAGAAAGTATAAAGTAGTGCTACTCATGGCAAACTCATTTGATAGTCAGAAGAAGATTTTTTCCAATTGCATTTGCCATAGTGGAGAGTGAGAATATTGATAGTTGGCCATGGTTCATAAGAAACCTTCAAGGTTTGCCGACCGAAATTATGTCTGGATCATCTCATATAGACATGTGGAAGTTGCATGGAATTGGGAAGAATCCTACGATTATTTGCAAACGTTCTTGTGGGTGGTAAAGAGAAAAATGTCAACATTAGTGATTGATTGGGTAAGAATTCCTTCATCACAGCCAGGTCATCTGATCTTTCAGCGAGTATCCTGAGCATTTGGACCTTGTATAGATGGATTCAAGAATTGTCCAGGAGTCATGGTTGTTGATGGAACATTTATTACTAGAAAGTATAAAGTAGTGCTACTCATGGCAAACTCATTTGATAGTCAGAAGAAGATTTTTTTCCAATTGCATTTGCCATAGTGGAGAGTGAGAATATTGATAGTTGGCCATGGTTCATAAGAAACCTTCAAGGTTTGCCGACCGAAATTATGTCTGGATCATCTCATATAGACATGTGGGACTCTATGAAGCCATGAGTGACATATCGGATGAAGTTGAGAGTGGAGGTAGTGCATGCGACACTATGCAAACAACTTGCAAAGGAAGACTAAAAGCAAGATTATGTATAATCAAGTGTTTTGAGCCAGTAAGCCTTCATTGTTATAGTTATTTATTGTTATGTATTATTGATTTTCATTTTAATTTGTCATGAATATATCTAACTCGTGTGGTTATTTATTGTTATGTATTATTTATTTTCATTTAATTTTGTCATGAATATATCTAATTTGTGTGGTTATTTATTGTGTTAGCTGGAGAAAACCGCTTGGAGAAGTTCGATCATCAAGTTGAGCAATTTAAGAAGATGCTGATAGTAATGTTTCATGCGGTAGTTGGGTGAACCAAAATCAAATCCTTTGGAGCTTAGTATGTGATAACCATAATGGTGGGCATCGATGGTCTATCATAATGGCGTCAGGTTCCGAACCCGCCCGAAAAATTGAATATGGCTTGAGGTTTTTATAACCCAAAACCCGAATGACCCGAACTTGATTAACCCATAGTTTTTGGGTCGGGTCGGGTTGGTTTGTGAGTCGACCCGCTAGACCCGCTCCATTGCATATGTCACTCTCAAAATGATAAAATCACTCATAAATTGGTGAGATGTTTAAAAAAATTCATAAGGGTTTGAAATACAAGTTTGGAGTCCAAAGATAATCAAAACACCATTTGTTTATTGTAGTAGTATTACTTTCGTATTTTTTTTTTTTACGATTTGTGCATTCATATTTCTTTTCATTATCATGGAAGAAAGTGAGCATTTGTTAATTGACATATGCTAGGTAAACTATTGTCACACATATATAAAAATTTGTATTCTTTAAAAATTTATGAAGCATGTTTGATATTGTTTCTGAGAACACTCATAACCCGAAATGATCTAAAACCCGACCCAAAATCTAATTAATTGGATAAATATTTGATCCGAAATCAGTCAACCCAACATGACCAGCCTATGATAACCCGTAACCCGAGATTTCCAACCCAAAATTACCCAATCCAATCCGACCACCCATCGGCCTCTCTCTCTTGGTCTCGGGGAAATTCCCTGGGGAAAAATTGCAACCCTCCCCTGGGAAAAAATGGCGCCGCATATTTTCACGCCACCAGAGAGAAGGATCGGCCCGGGGCGGGAAGGGTCGAAGTCCTGGAAAATACGCAGGCCGCGCGGAGGAGGGTGCCGAATTTTTATGTATTTTAATTGGTAAATAAAAATTAAATAATTAAATTACTACATTGCTCTTCATTAAATTGGATTAATCAGAACCATTAGATTTTAATGAAGTGAAAGGGCTGAGATTTACTTAATCACATGATTAAAGGACCTCCTTAGTCACCTGATCTTAGCCCGTCTAAATGGGATAAGAAAATCCGCAATCCGTAACTCGCCAGATTGATGGTCTCAACTCCAGTACTCAACCCGTTTTTGTGCCGACTGTGGTCATAGTAGCTATGGCCGGAACCTGACGCCAAAAGGAAAAGCCTGTTCCTTTCGATAGCTCAAATGGCGTCTCTGTCTTCCTGCTTCGCCATATCTCCCTCAAAGTCCCGACGTATTTCGTCTTCTCCTCGTCATCGTCTAATCTTCACGAGCTATTCCTTCGCCAGAGTCCCAACACCCCGACCGGCGGTGGCGCCTTTTCCTGGAGTTTCTTGCACAGTTCCGAACTTTCGGGCGTCGCGTCTCGTTGTGCGATCCAGTAGCATTGATGTGACGACTCCAATTAGGCCTGGTGCCGCCGTGGAGACTGACAAATTACCGGCGGATGTCAGGAACCGAACTATGGACGCCGTTGATGGGTGCGGAGGCAGGGTTACGTTGGGTGACGTGGCGAGCAGAGCTGGGCTTAAGTTAAATGAAGCTCAGAAGGCTCTGCAGGCTCTCGCTGCTGATACTGATGGCTTTCTGGAGGTAGTACCTGATTTCATGGTTTCAGTTCTTTTGATTACGCCGGCATATTCTGTTTCCTGCAGTGGAGTCTGGTTGCTCAATCTGTGTTTTAGGGTCCAGAATGTAGCTATTAAAGGAGCCGTTCCAATTTGATGAGCTATGGGTTTTATTCATGTCATGGCAGTCCTCTTTCACCTGTTGTTCATTCTCCTTACATTGTTTCGAGTTCTTGATTTGGTAATTGCATTCAAGATGGTTCCAAACAGGTTTCAGATGAAGGAGACGTGCTTTATGTTTTTCCAAAGGATTATCGCACAAAGCTTGCTGCCAAGTCGTTTAGATTGAAAATTGAACCACTGGTCGAGAAGACAAAGGTATTTCAGTGGTTGAACTACTACGCTTCTCTTATGTTTGAAAAGATTCCTGTTGTAGTTTGTAAGCACCCATTTTTTTTCCCCATTTTTTGCAATACAGAGCACGGCTGAGTATCTCATCAGGGTGTCCTTTGGGACAGCTCTAGTTGCTTCAGTAGTAGTGGTTTATACTACAATAATACTTCTTCTTTCGAGTAGAAGGTATCTAGAAATTGTCCTATCGAGTCTCATTTCTTTCCAAATAAAGTAAAGCCTTACTTGTTTGGTCACACTACTGAATCCTGATGGTAAAGGTGTAATATTCAATTTCTGGTGGCAGTGATGACGACAGACGTGAAAGACGCAGCAGTAGATCATATGGTTCAGGATTCAATATTTACTTTAATCCTATAGATTTATTCAGGTATTTTTTGGGCATCTTACTTCTGTTATTTCCTTTTACAAGTTAAAAAATGGACTTTATAAGGCTTGGGATATGATTGCTTCCTAGAGTCGTAGTTCTTTAGCTTAGCTTTCATTGGCTTTAACCTTCAAAACCTGTTAAAAAGGTGGTTGCAATGGCTCGCGAACTTGGAATATTTGTCTGTGCAGAGCTGATGTTTGTGTAAGGAAGGAACTGATATCAAGAAAGTTCGAATTGTTCCCTTGTTGCTTTTCAGGATTTGGGATCCATATTATTACAGGAGGCGGAGACAACAAGTTGATGTCAATGAAAATATGAACTTCCTTGAATCTGTAAGTGCAGAAGCGTATCATATCATTTCAAACTGCCATAGTGCTCTTGTTTGTGACCTCTGTTAAGAACTTCATTTTCCTATTCATTGTTTTCTCAGATCTTCTCATTTGTATTTGGTGATGGCGATCCAAATCAAGGACTAGAAGAAGAGAGGTGGAAGTTGGTAATAGTTCAGGACTGAATTCAGTGGTCTGTTGCTTTTTTTTTATATATTTTTTTTTTATCTGAATGCTCTTTTTCACCTTCTTCTTTCCATGAGCTTTGTTATATAACCAGTCTTAAAATATCTTCAAAGGATATGCCTTTACTTTTCTCTTACAGGATTTAGACTAGGTAAGGTTGAACATCAGCTTGTAAATCATTGTCTGGCAGATGACATTTGTCATTTACTATCACTATGCCACATGCAAAACCTTACATAGGCTGCACATTTTCTTACTATTTGTAGTCTGTTTCTGTGTTCTCTTTGTTTGCTTCTTGTTTTCTGGTCTAGGAGTTTCCTCAGTAACACTTGTCGTATGAAAATCAGAGTCCAATTTTGTCTTCTATAACACTTGTAATGGAGATATTAGCAGTTGTCAACTTTATTTAGAAACATTGATTTTTGGGGTTGCGCTTGCAGATCGGGAAATACATTTCTTCTAATGGTGGTGTTGTGACAGCTGAGGAACTTGCTCCTTATCTGGATTTACGAACTACTGACATGGTATGCTTTCCGGTGTCTGCCATATTATGATTACCATTCCTGCTTGAGGTACATAATGGTGTAGGCTTCTTGTGCTCAATTCCCAATGTGAGCTCAACACTCAACTGATAAATTGTTGGGATTCCTTAATGCCAAACCGAGCCTTTCTTGTTTTTTACTTACCTTTTGATTTATATTTTGTTGTCTTGCAAGTTTCTCTTGAATTCCAATGTTGTAGATGTTCTTAGTTGTTAAAAGTTTGATCCTTTTGAAATAGAGTAAGACAAATAGAAGATCCAAATCTCATCCCTAGCCCTGGTTCTGATCCTAATCAAGCACTAGACCTTTCATTTGATCCAAGTACTGGATTGTTTTCGGTTTGCATCTCAAAGGTGCCTAGTTGAAATGTTGAAGGGGCTGCTGGTCTTTCTACTGAATGCATATGTGTTGTACATTTGTAAGCCGCTCCCTTCCCCTTGGAGTTTATCAAGAAAGTTGATTGTTCTGCTTTTGCATATAAAATACTTTCTGTCATTATTTGATCCAATGATTTGAAGTTGGCGTCCTGAGTGACTAATCCCACTCGTGATCCTCTAACCTGATCCAGTTACAGTTGGTCTTTATACGATGCTACTTCTGTTCTTTGGTTTCAGAATGATGAATCATATGTCTTACCCGTTCTCCTTAAGTTTGATGGCCAACCAGAAATTGATGAAGAGGTATGATCATAAAGAAAGATACCACGTAGTTATAAAAATGGTTTCCTTTACTCTATCTATGACATCTGTAAGTATTAAGGTGATATCTTATCTAAACCCTGGTTCACTGATTTAATCCTGTTTAGGGCAATATCCTGTATCGATTTCCTTCACTTCAGCGAACAGCATCTTCCCAAAGAAGCGGTAGGAAGGAGTACGTGGGAAAGAGTAAACGATGGGCAGATTGGGTTGGAGGAATTCAGAACTATCTCGAGGAAAAGAAATTGGAATTCAGGTTCTTTTCCATTTTTTTTAGAATACCTCCAATGTTTTGTTAGATCTGTTAAGATCAAGCTCCCTGATCCAAAGAATTTATGTTTGCAGTAAAACCAATGCATCGGAAAGAGCATTGGTCATCGGGTTGGGTGGGCTCAATCTATTTGGAGTTGTTGTTCTTGGGGCCATGATGAAGTATGATTCTCCTTTTTCTTTTTCCTTGATTGGAAGTATTATGTTATCCTTGATATTGGTGTGTCTCTATTTTCGTGTCTTGTACTCATCTCTGCATTATATTTTGATTGTCAGGGAGATGACTATTAATCAAGGTGGATGGATTCAATTTGTTAGATCCATCTTTCCACTACTCCAGGTACATCTGTGATTCGGATCTTCTTATCTTCTCGTCTAGTTTTCGATTTCCCTGTTTTGCTAGATGGTTACTATCAAAATTTGCAGGTGTATGCAGGTTCTTTCTTTGCAATCCCTTTGGTTCGTTGGTTCCTTGTCTCCAAGAGCAATGCTGAGATAGAAAAGAGAAACAGATTGAGGAAAGAATTTGCCAAAGTGCTCGAACTGCCTGATATTTCATTAAGACGAAAGGTATAGCTACTTGAATGCTGTAGTTACATCAGAAACATCTCACTTTCACAATCATTTCCAGAGAGTCTGGACTGCTTGGACGAAAACAAAAGAATTCTGATGGCTAATATGTTGGTCCGTGAATTTCTCACTGCAGATTCTTAGTGCTCGGGATATGGCCCAGAAAACAGTGATAGGACAGGATCGCATAGTCTACAGTACCGAAAGAGATATAATCGAGCAGAACGTCGAGGCTGAAGATTGGGAACGGAGGTTTAGAGAAATTGAGAATAAGCCAGAGTAGAATGTTTGTGCCAATTTCCTGGTGGTCGACTTTTTCATTTGATTTGAATCAGGAAATTCCACGACCTACAGTAACTTTTGTGTATATTCAACCTCCCATTTGCGTGGGAATAGACAATAGTCAGGTGCTCAATTATTGTAAGTTTGTAACTATTGGGCACATTCCTTACATAAGAAAGTTAAAACGCAATTCATGGTTAATCTATTCGACTTGATAACTATGAGAGGTATATGCTATAGGAAATTGATGTAGGTCTGAAATCTCCCAACCACAAACATTCTCCATAGTGAACCAAAAAAGTGAAACAACTATCGCCATTAACAATTTGGTTATTCCCAACATTTTCAGCATCTCCATGAACGATTGTGTTTTTTCACAGAATAGGTACACTCTGTTGACTTCATCAGTAAGTTACACCATGGGGCTACATCTGAACATTAAATGTGGCTGCAAAAAATTGCATGCATAAGTAACATCAATCTAGTACCAGGATTAGGATCTCATGCTCTTGTTAGAAACCTAATTCTAGGGTTCTAACGGTCGGATTGATGAGATTGGGAATTGATAGATATTTAGGGATTGAGATAGAATTGGGGAGGAACAGAATTGGGAATTAGGGATTTAGAAGAGGAAATTGAGGATTGAGGAGAAGAATGGCCGACGGCCTAGGGATAGGTGACGAAATTGAGAGAGATTAGGGTTTGAGATACTTTCTGAATAATTGTTCTTGCTTGATTCTGAATAAAACGCAAAGTACCTATTTATAACGAAAGATAAGAAAACCTAATACTAAACCTAATTCTACTAAAAGACTACTAACCATATTTAATAAAACCTAATAATAATGATAATATAGAAACTCGTTTTCCTTAGAAAACGTGTTTCTAACATCCCATCCCCCTTGAGACCAACCTTGCCCTCAAGGTTAATCAGTTTGACCCATTTCTTCAAGCCTACCGTGCCATCCACGTCTTGCCTCCTCCAGCACTCCCTCTCCCGGCGGTGCCGCCATCTGTTTGGCCTGCTCGTCGGTTAGGAACAGGGGACCACCGCCCTCTTCCTCCGTCTCTCTCTTTTCTTCCGCCGGACGAAACTCCTTCTCCGGCGGTGCGTGGGAAAGCTCCCCGCCGTCTTCTATTTGCGCGGTCCGCGACCCTTCGAACAACCCACGACATCCGATTGCGGAGGGCACCACGGGGCGCCGCTCGGCCCTCTCCTCTCCCGTGCGCGGCGCGGCCTCGACTACCGCGGGGCGCTGCTGCTCGGCCCGACCTCCTCCAACGCGCGGCGCGGTCTCGTCCGACGAAGGGGGGCGCGCGATTGGGGCGGCGCCAGACAGCTCGACCGCCGGCTCTTCGGGTGTTAGAAACAAAGTTTCTAACAGGTTCGATAATTGGGATTTAGGGATTTGAAGAATAGAATTAGGGATTAAGAAGTAGAATTTGGGGAAGAACGAGAAAGAATGGCCGGCGGCCGGATTAGGGAAAGAAGAGAAATTGAGAGAATTTGGGAGAGAATAGGGTTTAGGGATTTTCTTAATATGCTTCTTATTGATTCTGAATGGAAGCCCAAAGTAAATATATATATAGCAAATAATGGAAAACCCTAACAATAAACCTAATTCTATTAAATGACTACTAACCTTATTGATAATTACCCTAATAATAATTATATTAATAAATAGAGAAACCCTACAGAAATCGGTTTCTAACAGCTCTGTGCTTAAATCGAATTCTAATGGCGAATTCCTGGAGAATGTTACATGCTTCCAAGGGGATCGTCCGAAGAGGAATTTGTACTTTCACCAGCAATCCAGCATGCAACTCATCAATATTAACTGCATAGTATGCTGCAGCTGAGCTTCTAATCAATGAATTCTGGTCATCAAGCGATTCTGAAGACCAGTATACCTACGGATGAATCAGATCCAGGAGTAAGGATCCTGACAAGATACAAGATAAAAAAGTGATGGAGCAACAGAATAAGCTTTCCTTACCCAAAAATATGAGGGCGAATATAATTGTTATTGTCAACACCATTTGCACCGAATTCCAATTTACTTGAACATGACAAGGCAACACTTGATATATTACTCCAAGATTGCTACTCAACTGTACCACATTAGCTTGAAACCTAGAAAATAGAATTTGGAAGCTTCCAAATCCACGTCGCAATTGTCCCTGTCATAGACATTAATTTAATCATCAGCATGTCAGACTTCACTACATTTCTACCTGATGGTTGTTGAAACTGCATGCAGTTAAATCTACTGAAAACAGTCTGCTACTTCCAAGAACTATAAATTATCAAGTCGAGCGGTTGATGAATACATCGAACTCACAATACAAATGATGAGCCAGCCAATTAATTCTAGACTTAATTGCCATTGGTTAGAGATGCATTAGGAAAAGTTGGTTGGATTAAGTGGTCCACGCAAAGGAAGCATTCTTCCTCACCAAGGTGTAGCACCAAGTCACCAACAATATATATGAATATATATTGGAGTTCATAATGATCTCTAGGAAGCACATGATGCATCATATATGCATCCCACTTTCGTAAATTTGTACCTGAACATAAGGGGAATCATCGAGGGATGTTAGTGAATGATACGGGCTGAAATTGTATCGATCGAGGTCTCCCTTTTCTTGGCAGGAGTTGGCCAGAGTTCTACTTTCTTGGCTAGAACAACCAGGTGTACTTTGATTGTAAAATATGCTTGCCTGTTATTCAATCAAATCTCAGTTTAAATACATCAACGATTGGAACTGGAAATAACTAAGTCCTATCCTTGTGGAACTACTACTCACGACCTGCTAACCATGCTGCTATTCCTATTCCACTTATTATGCTAACTCAACAAATACTCTAACTACTTGCTGACTCAAATAACAAATGCTGCTGACTCCTTCAAACAATTCAACAACCAGAACTAGACACCTACAACGGCAAGCTTCTTGTGAATATCTCATGGACCGAACTACCCCACGTAGTCTTGGTAGCGACGATTGGGCTGTGGAGTTCTAGTCGAATGGCGGGCCAGAGGAATGGGCTGTGAACTCGCATCATTACCACCCCCTGAAGAGACGGCATTGTCCTCAAGGCCGATGTGAATGAAACGGTCGTGGAACTCTGAAGATAGCTCCCAAGTGGCATCGTCGGTGGGGAGGGATTGCCACTTAACAAGGACCTCCGTGACGAAGAGGCCGCCCCGACGAACCCAGCGAGTGTCGAGGATGGCTTCAGGCTGGAGTAGAAGGCTACCGTCGTCAGTAATCGGTGGAATTTCAGTACTAGCAGCAGCTGGCGGAGAATGGCAACGGCGGAGCAACGAGACATGGAAGACTGGGTGAACGCGGCTTCCGGGCGGTAGGCCAAGGCGATATGCGACGGGACCAATGCAATCCGTGATAAGGTACGGGCCATAATAATGGCATGCCAGCTTCTGAGAAGCACGCCGAAAAATAGTATGTTGACGGTATGGTTGCAGCTTCAAATACACCCAGTCACCGACGGAATAGTGGACTTCGCGACGATGCAAGTCGGCGTTCTGCTTCATGCGATGTTGGGAGACTGCCAAGTTGGATTTGAGCTCATTGAGAAGATCGTTGCGGTCCAACAGAGCACGATCAACTTCATGAACCGAGGTAGACCCTGGGCGATATGCAGGGATCGTAGGAGGAAGGCGACCGTACAAGGCTCGAAATGGAGTCATACCTGCTGAACTGTGGAAGCTGGTATTGTACCAATATTCTGCCCATGGAAGACAAGCGAGCCAGCATTTGGGTTGCTGGTGTGTAAAGCAGCTGAGATACTGCTCGACGCAGCGATTGACCACCTCTGTTTGGCCGTCAGTTTGGGGATGATAGGAGGAAGACATTTGGAGAGTCGTTCCGGACTGTCGATGGAGCTCCTGCCAGAAGTGGCTCATGAATATGGGATCAAGATCACTGACGATCGATCGGGGTGGCCCGTGCAATCTCACAATGCCGGCAACAAACTGTTCAGCCACCGTGCGAGCTGTGTACGGATGAGAGAGTGGGAGGAAGTGCCCGTACTTGGTCAAGCGATCCACCACGACCAAGATTACTGTCTTCCCACCTGAACTTGGCAACCCATCAACAAAATCCATAGAAATGTCTTCCCATACCTGATCTGGAATTGGTAGCGGCTGAAGGAGACCAGCTGGAGCAAGGGATTGCGCCTTGGTGCGTTGGCAGATGTCGCACCCATTGACGAAGCTCTTAACATCCTGCAACATCCCCGGCCAATAAAATTGAGAAGCAAGTCGTCGGTAGGTGCACTCGATGCTGGAGTGGCCACCGATGGGTGTGACATGGAATTCGTGAAGGAGCTGGCGCACGAAGGGGGAATTGGGTGGAATGACGACGCGACGGCGATGGAAAACCATGTTGTTGCGAAGAGAAAAGGGGCCAGGCTTGGAGGATTTGGCTCGTGCAATGACCTTCTGCATATATGGGTGAGTAAGAGCCGTGGATGTGAGGGAGTCCCAAAGAGTTGTGTGGGAGATGGACACAGCCAACAACGTTACTTCCGCTGGCCTACGACTAAGAGAATCAGCTGCTTGATTTTCCTTTCCCGGTTTATAGGAGATTTCGTAATCAAATCCCAACAGTTTGGACACCCAACGTTGTTGTTCTGGAGTCGTGATCCGCTGGTCAAGAAGGTGCTTCAGGCTTTTCTGATCGGTCCGAATAAAGAACTTGCGACCCAATATATATGGCTGCCAAGTCTGAACGGCGGTCACAATGGCGAGCATCTCCTTAGCATAGGTGGACAACGTCTGGTTCGACTTACCCAGAGCCCGACTGAAGTATGTAATGGGCCGGTCTTGCTGCATCAAGACGGCACCGATGCCCACGCCAGATGCGTCAGTTTCAATGACAAAAGGAGCTTCGAAGTTGGGCATAGCGAGAACCGGAGTAGTCGTCATAGCAATCTTCAAGTCTTGAAAGGCTTCCTAGGCTGCAACAGTCCACACAAATTGACCCTTTTTAAGCAAATTCGTCAAAGGTCTAGCGATGGTGCCGTAACCCCGAACAAACTTACGGTAGTAGCCTGTAAGCCCCAAAAACCCACGGAGTTCAGTGACATTTGTGGGCGTTGGCCACTCAGTCATTGCTTGAACTTTTCGTGGATCAACTTTCACTCCATTGGCTGTGATAATGTGGCCTAAGTATTCAATTTCCGACAAGCCGAAAGCACACTTAGAGAACTTGATGAAGAACTGGTGTTGGCGTAGAATGAGCAGCACCTGACGCAGATGCTCACAGTGGCTCTCTCTGTCCGGGCTGTACACCAGAATGTCGTCGAAGAAAACCAAGACAAACTTGCGGAGTACCGGCCGAAAAATCTCATTCATGAGATCTTGGAAAGTAGAGGGCGCATTACAAAGTCCGAAAGCCATTACCAAGTATTCGTAGTGGCCGTTGTGAGTGCGAAAAGCAGTTTTTTTGTATGTCGGCGTCGTTCATTCGCACTTGATGATAGCCTGCCCGCAAGTCCAGCCGTGTGAAGAAAGCTGCGCCGTGAAGTTCATCTAACATATCGTCAACGGTCGGGATAGGAAAACGATCCTTGATTGTGACCGCGTTCAAAGCCCGATAGTCGGTGCAAAATCGCCAAGAGCCATCTTTCTTCTTGACGAGGAGAACTGGGGACGAATAGGGACTTGTACTGGGTCGAACGAGACCAGCATCGAGCATTTTATTGATTTGGGTCTCGATTTTGTCCTTCTGGAAGTATGCGTATTGATACGGCCGAACATTGATGGCTTCAGTTCCTTCTTTGAGAATGATGCGGTGTTCAATTTGACGACGAGGAGGGAGCTGATTGGGGTCGTCAAAAAGATCATCGAAATCCCGCAGGAGGTCTTGGATATCGGTCGGTACGCTGCGTAGAGGGTCCTCCGGCGAGGGCGGCAGACAAATAACTCGGAGGCAATGTTCCTCCTTCAAAATTTCCTTCACAGACGTAGGAGAGATGCCTGGTTCGGTGATTCCCCGAAGCTTGCGATGACGACCAGCCCATTCAAATTCCATCTCCATCCTCTTCCAATTGCATTGGACGGTGCCAAGTGTTTCTAACCATTGGACACCAAGTACAATGTCGAAGCCAGTGAGGGGAATGGCAAAGCAAGTGATGGGGAAGTGAATTCCCTGAATTTTAAGGACAAGTCCTTCATGTTTGCCGCTGCATTTCAATGGAGCTCTGCTGGCGACTTTGACGTTGAAGGCGGTGATTGGAGTTCCAGCTAATTGGAGGGCTTCCGCTGTTTTGGTGCTTACAAAATTGTGGGTCGACCCACTGTCAATGAGGGCTACCAGCTTGAACTGGCCCACTTGGGCCCAGACCCGCATCGATCGCCCGCCCATTCGGCCCGTGATGGCATGGACGGAGACTTCCGCGTCATCGGCGTACTCTTCGTCTTCATCTTCGTCCAATAACAGCATCAACCGGGGTTTCACGCAACGGTGGGTTGGATTGAATTTCTCATCACAATTGAAGCACAATCCTGCTTGTCGACGATGGTGGATTTCGTCATACGGGAGTCGCTTCACTCCTGGCGGTGGTTGTGGCCGAAATCGCCCCACAGGTTGTGGTTCAGCGGCGGCGGGGCGAGGGCGAGCGGCAAAGGAGTGATCGAAGGTGGAACGGGGCTTGGGTCGTGGTGGCGTCGTGTAATCCGCCGGCGAACGGTAGTAGCTGCGAGGCAGCTAAGGGCACGAGAGAGCTGCTCGTCTCGAACCCGAGCCAGGGTGATTGCTTCCTTCAGGGTACGCGGGTTAAAGATGCGGATTCCATCGGCAATTTCGGGTTTCAATCCACCCATGAACGTGCCGACCAGGGCCTGCTGCGTCCATCCCCGAACGCGATTGCCGAGCCTTTCGAACTCGGTTTGGTATTCTCGAAGAGTACCTGTCTGTTTGATATGAGACAAGGTCTCGTCGAATCCGTTTGCCGCCGAGGGTCCGAACCGTGTCCATAGTTCCGACGAGAATGCTTCCCATGTGACGGAATTCCATCCGCCCGATACGTTCGACGAAGCCATTGCCACCATTGATTTGCGTCGCCCTCGAGATGATAGGATGCCAAAGACACCTTTTGGCCCTCCGGAATGGCCTGGAATTCAAAGAATTGTTCTACGCGAGAGAACCAGACGGTGGGATCATCGCCGGCAAATGTGGGGAATTCCAGTCGCGCCAGTTTAGCCCCAAAGAAGGGCTGGCAATCTGGATCGTCAAGGTCATCGGGATGGGTCTGGCGTGACCGGCCATTGACGGATCAGTCTCCTTCGGTGGAGCGTCGTTCCTCTGATCTGGCTGCTTGATCTTGCGCGATCTGATTGACCACGAGCTGAACGGCAGCCAATTGATCGATGATCGCCTGGATGCCAGTCTGATTCTCGTGGGTGGCGGTCTCTAGAGCTTCAATGCGTTGAGCGTGAGTGCCCATGCCACGCTTTGATACCAAATGATAGGGGTTGAAATTGTATCAATCGAGGTCTCCCTTTTCTGGGCAGGAGTTGGCCAGAGTTCTACTTTCTTGGCTAGAACAACCAGGTGTACTTTGATTGTAAAATATGCTTGCCTGTTATTCAATCAAATCTCAGTTTAAATACATCAACGATTGGAACTGGAAATAACTAAGTCCTATCCTTGTGGAACTACTACTCACGACCTGCTAACCATGCTGCTATTCCTATTCCACTTATTATGCTAACTCAACAAAGACTCTAACTACTTGCTGACTCAAATAACAAATGCTGCTGACTCCTTCAAACAATTCAACAACCAGAACTAGACACCTACAACGGCAAGCTTCTTGTGAATATCTTATGGAACGAACTACCCCACGTAGTCTTGGTAGCAACGATTGGGTTGTGGAGTTCTAGTCGAATGGCGGGCTAGAGGAATGGGCTGTGAACTCGCATCAGTGAACTGACATCTTTCAACTTTTTTGTATGGCTTCTGCTGCCTTTGTTCCCATACATAACATGGTACAGAAATTTCTCAAGAATCTGAAATTAACTCTACTGGATACTCCTCGCAGCTTGTTTTCATGGAAGATAGTTCTAGATGTCGCCGCTTCACTAGCTTCCACGTCCCACTTCCCCTCAACATTGCATTCCCTATCACTAGAGATCTTTTTATCCATTTACCTTTTCGATCCTTCCTTGCTCAACAATCTCATCACCTGTTAAACTCAATGCTGAAGTTGGATCAAGAAACAATGCCAATCCATCCATGTCCTGGTCATTCAAATTCACCCAGCTGTTTTTCCTCATTGAAGGACCCTCTATTCTCTCCTCGATAAGTTTTATATGTTCCTTTATGGCCTTAATGAACTGCCTATGTCTAGCTATCACCTCTTCCTTCAATCGAGACTTGTCTGCCAAGGCTGAAGCGTTGACTGCTCTTTCGAAATCTTCCAACTGGCAAGTTGAAAAAGTAAGCCATGATCAGCAGAAGAAGCAATGCATCAAAATGTGTTGGCAGACAACGGCAACAAAGAGCAACTAGTACCTGCCACTTGACCGTTTCGAGAATAGTAACGAGATCCCGTTTATGGTAATTTATTGTGTCGAGCAGCTTTGGATCAGAATGATCCTCTTGAAGCAAGGATTGGTCGTGTACAAGAAGTCGAAACAGCGAGTCCATCCTAGATTATAACGAAAAAGTCACTCAGTGTTACTTTCTAGTTTTACTTTTGTTGAAGCAGAATGGAGGAGCTCTCGATTGGAACATACAAGAGGAGAAGATGCAGAGAGGGAAATCCAAGCTGCTGGAACACGAAGACTCCCCTGCAGACATCCGAAACGGGAGCTGGGCTTGAAGACGATTCGCAGTATGGGATACGTTTCGTGACTTCAGCCAAGTTCCTGTGAAGACGTCGTCGTTCTAGTAGTGACCGTTAAATAAGTGTAGTTAGTTTATTTTCAGTCTATCAGTGATTGCCACGTGTTGTGGTTAACAGTGAAATCGGATTTGAACGTTGTAAACCTCTGTTTTGGTTTTGATATATATATCAGGGTTCCCAGCTGTTTGCTGCTGTGGAAAACCCTTCCCCCATTTCCTCCTCTCTATAATTTCTACATGGTATCAGAGCTCGAGTAGCTATGGCGTCACCTTCTCCAAACACTCCGGGGCCGAATGCAACTTCCGGCGACGGATCAGGTAGCACTGGTGCTACAGGAATCCCTTTCAACTTTGGGAGTTTCAACAATGACGCACAGGGCTCTCGTTCACCAAACGGTCAGGGAACCAGATCTACAGATCCAGCCTTCGGTAACCCTTTCTATATCAATCCTAATGAAAATCTGGCGCAATCGATTGTTCCCATTGTGCTTGATGGGTCGAATTACCAGATGTGGTCTAGGGCCATGAAGGCTGTTCTTAAGACGAAGCAGAAACTGGGTTTCATAGATGGATCTATCCCAGCTCCAGATCGTTCTCATGAGTTGTTTAATGTTTGGGATGCAAACAATACTATTGTTCTTTGCTGGATTACTAATTCCTTAGAAAAGGAGATTGCTAGAAGTGTTCAAACCCATGAGAATGCACAGATTCTTTGGAAGGAACTGAATGATCGTTTTGGGCAAGCAAATGCCATCAAGTTATCTAACTTGGAAGATGAAATGCGTGCTTACAAACAGGGGACCAGTACTGTTACTCAATACTACACCCATTTGAAGGGTTTATGGGATGAATATAGTCAGTTTAATCCAATTGTACCTTGTCACTGTGCTCCTGGTAACCCAAATCCTTGCACAGCAGTTGAAGCATTCAAGGAGAAACAGAATACTGATTACTTAATCAGGTTCCTTAAGGGTTTGAATGAGGATTACAACTACATCAGTTCTCAATTGTTGATGATGAAACCTTTGCCTACAGTCACTACAGCATATGATTACCTTCTGCAACATGAACAGAAGATCAAAACTGAAGGAAGCATTGGGAATCAAAAGTCAAGCCAATCTGTGGCATTAGCTGTAGGAGCAGGTGCTCCACCTGCTAAGGGATATAGTCGACCAGAAGGAGAAGCTGAAAGAACTGGATTGTTCTGCAATTATTGTAAGAAGACTAATCATGTTATTAAGGACTGCTGGAAACTGAAAAGGAAAAGGCAGGAGAAAGAAGGAACTCAAGGGAATCGATTTGCTGGGGCAGTTGGCCAAAGTTCTGGCAGTGAGGAAGGGCAAGAGAATGAAGGACGACTGCAGGTTGATATAAGCAGTACACATTCTGGTTCAGGAGGTTTCACAATGGAAGAAATGAACAAACTCAGGAGTCTGCTGCAGTCCTCCAGTTCTAACTCTCCAACCTCACCTCAGAGTCCAGTGATCAATCACAGGTCACATTCAGTGACAAATTACCTGCCAAAGTTCCCAAGTCATGCAGGTAAGTTTGTTCTGTCTTCTCATAACCATTCAGATTTAGTTCATAATTGGATCTTGGATACTGGTGCATCAGATCACATAACTTGCTCTCTTACATCATTTACTCAATGTTTTCCTGTGAATGATGTTTTTGTGTACCTGCCTAATCAATCTAAGGTTCCAGTTAGTCATATAGGGTCAGTCAAGCTCACAAATGATCTGTTCTTACACAATGTTCTTCATGTTCCAAGCTTCACATTCAATCTAGTGTCAGTTAGTAAGTTAACTCGTGACCAGCCCATCTCACTTCTTTTCCAATCTGCCATTTGCCATATTCAGGACCTCATCACAACCAAGATGATTGGTTTGGCGACAGAAAGTAGGGGTCTCTATCACATTCTACCATCAGACCAAAACCAGAGCCCATCCATTTCTCAAGTTGCCTCTATCTACAACTTTGAACCCCAGAAGATTGATCTATGGCATTGGCGTTTAGGTCATCCTAGTCAGAGTAGATTTCAGCTTATTCACAAATGTACTCCTTCTATTCCTCTAGAACAAGTTAAACATTGTGAGCACTGTCATTTGTCTAGACAGAAAAGGCTCCCTTTCTCTTCCAGTAACAATGTTGCTTCCAATGTTTTTGGTCTTATTCATGTGGATATCTGGGGTCCACTGTCCATACAATCACATGATGGTTTCCATTACTTCCTTACAATTGTTGATGATCATTCTAGAGCTGTTTGGATTTATTTGATGAAACAGAAATCAGAAGCTAGACAACTACTGATTGGTTTCTGTTCTATGGTTCAAACTCAGTTTGCTAAATCAGTCCAAATAGTTAGAAGTGATCAAGGCAAGGAATTTTACATGTGTGATTTCTATCTGAAAAATGGAATTGAACACCAAACCTCCTGTGTTTACACACCTGAACAAAATGGGAGGGTAGAGAGAAAACACCAGCACATTTTAAATGTTGCTAGGGCTGTGAGATTTCATTCAGGTGTGCCTCTTGAATTTTGGAGTGACTGTGTACTTCATGCTGTGTATTTAATCAACAGATTACCTACTCCTATCCTTAACAACAAATCACCCTATGAAATTTTATACCACATTCCTCCTTTCCTTGGCAACCTCAAGGTGTTTGGCTGTCTGGCTTATGCCACTACACCTGCACAAGGAAGAACCAAATTAGATGCTAGAGCAAAGCAATGCATTTTCATAGGGATTCCCACTGGGATTAAAGGGTATAAATTGTTTGATTTGAATTCACATCAGTTTCTTATCTCTAGAGATGTGATATTCTATGAGGATATCTTTCCTTTCAAACACACTGACTCACAGGACTCAAATGAAACACAGCAAAGAGATGACCTTCCTATCTTTCCTGCTCCAATTACCTCTCATGATAGAATCCCCAATGTCAGTAGTCCTCTTCCTGATAGCAGTTTACATGTCAGTAGTCCTCCTTCTAATCATCATTCAAAGAGTAAAGCCAGCCCCACAGATAGTATCCCACATGTCAGTAGTCATCCTTCATCGAGTCAATCAAAATTCACTTCTGATTCTGATGCATCATGTAGTCATGATTTAATTAATGAACTTGCTGATATGAATGATATGCATGACCTTGATATGGGAATGGAGGCAGAAATGCCTGAAATAGAACCTGCTGAAGAACATGAAGCAGAACCAACAGTCAGAACTAGGCCACACAGAAATACAAATCTGCCCTCTAGATACAAGGATTACTACCTGAATACAGTCTCTCAGTACCCTATGTCAGAATATGTGGGATATGAGTTGCTTTCACCAGAAGCCAGGGCATATGCTATGAGTATTACCAATGAAATAGAACCACGTTGTTATGATGAGGCAAGGAAGGATGAGTGTTGGATAAGAGCCATGAATGAAGAGTTGCAGGCTCTGTTAGAAAATCAGACCTGGGATATAGTTGTGTTGCCACCAGGTAAGAGGGCTATTGGGTGTAAATGGGTTTTTAAAGTTAAACTTAAACCTGATGGAAGTATAGAAAGGCACAAGGCCAGGCTTGTTGCAAAGGGGTTCACACAAATTTATGGACTGGACTTCCTGGATACTTTTTCACCTGTAGCCAAGAATAATTCAGTCAAAACCTTGCTTGCTGTTGCAGCAGCAAAGGATTGGAATTTACATCAAATGGATGTCTCCAATGCATTTCTGCATGGAGACCTTGAAGAAGAGGTTTATATGCAATTGCCTCCAGGTTATCCAGTTGAAGGTGATTCAAAGGGATTGGTTTGCAAACTGAAGAAATCCCTCTATGGCTTGAAGCAAGCCAGTAGACAGTGGTTTGCTAAACTCACTGGAACACTGCTGAAGAATGGATTTTCTCAGTCTAACTCTGATTACTCTATGTTTATCAGGTGGTTTCAAGGAAGAATTGTAGTTGTTTTGGTTTATGTCGACGACATAATATTGGCAGGTCCAAGATTAGGAGATCTGGAAGCAGTTAAATCATTCCTGAAGAGAGATTTTAAAATCAAAGATCTGGGAGAGCTCAAGTACTTTCTAGGTCTTGAGATAAGCAGAAATGCATCTGGCATTGCTGTTTGCCAGAGGAAGTACTGCATGGATTTGTTAGAAGATACAGGATATCTAGATTCTAAGAGTTGCAAGAGTCCTATTGACTGTAAGGTGAAGCTTAGTGCAAGAGAAGGAAAGCTTCTTGATGATCCAGGGTGTTACAAACGTCTGATTGGGAGATTGAATTATCTAACAGTGACAAGGCCAGACATAGCCTATGCTGTTCAGCAGCTATGTCAATACCAAGTTGAACCAAGGGATACTCACTTACAAGCAGCATACAGAGTTCTTAGATACCTGAAAGGATCACCAGGACAAGGCCTTCATTTCAAATCAGATAATAATTTGGTTTTGAAAGCTTACAGTGATGCTGATTGGGCAGCATGTCCAGACACAAGGAAATCGATTTCTGGATACTGCACCTTCTTAGGAGGATCCCTGATTACTTGGAGAGCAAAGAAGCAGACTACCGTTTCCAGATCATCGTCTGAAGCAGAATACAGAGCGCTAGCTCACCTGGTATGTGAAATTCAGTGGCTTCAAAGCTTATTGAAGGAGTTAGATGTGAAGTTGCCAACTCCTGTTCATGTGTTTTGTGACAACATGTCTGCAATTCAAATAGCAGAGAACCCTGTGTACCATGAACGTACTAAACACATTGAGATAGATGTTCATGTGACAAGGGAAAGGGTGAAATCAGGTTTGATCAAGTTAAACTATGTTAGAAGTGAAGAACAGGTTGCAGACTTGTTTACCAAGGCTTTAACTCGTTATCGTGTTACTTATTTGCTTAGCAAGTTGGGCGTAATTAATATATACGCGCCAACTTGTGGGGGCGTGTTGAAGCAGAATGGAGGAGCTCTCGATTGGAACATACAAGAGGAGAAGATGCAGAGAGGGAAATCCAAGCTGCTGGAACACGAAGACTCCCCTGCAGACATCCGAAACGGGAGCTGGGCTTGAAGACGATTCGCAGTATGGGATACGTTTCGTGACTTCAGCCAAGTTCCTGTGAAGACGTCGTCGTTCTAGTAGTGACCGTTAAATAAGTGTAGTTAGTTTATTTTCAGTCTATCAGTGATTGCCACGTGTTGTGGTTAACAGTGAAATCGGATTTGAACGTTGTAAACCTCTGTTTTGGTTTTGATATATATATCAGGGTTCCCAGCTGTTTGCTGCTGTGGAAAACCCTTCCCCCATTTCCTCCTCTCTATAATTTCTACAACTTTTTCGATGGTGGGGTTTTTGAAGGCCGTTCCTTTCTAGTTTTACTTTTTCGATGCAGGCGGTTGGATCCGGCGTGGGGAAGTAGTGTACGCAGTCGCAGCACAAACCGACGCCGTTTCACCTCAGGCACAGTGAAAATTGCCCTGCTTCCTTACTGTTCCATTCCATTCCATCTCTCTCTAGTCTCTACCGCACTTTTGCTATATTTCCATTACAGGATTAGTACTGATTTTGCTGCAATTAAACTTGAAATGAAATCACAAGCTAAAACGTTGCAGGCTGCTCTCTTAAGTTTAACCAAAGTAGAGCATTACAATGGTGATCTAAACAAAATACTGAACCATCTGGATTTCCTTCTCCCTAAACCCACACCTTTCATAGAACGCCTTGTTTTCGCTGCTGCAGTCCAGAATCACCTTGTAGCAACCTCTGTACCGCGAGAAACTCCACAATCTTCATCCCCAAATGCAACCCTCTGGCGCTTGAGTCAACGACGACGTCTCAATGTGGCCGACCTTGCCGCAGTTCCTCAAGAAACTTCTTCTCTACAAACACGCAACCGGTGGCTATGATCTTCGACTGCCGGTCATCTTCTATCACACAGATGAGATGGTCGTCCCCAAGGGATCTCAGCTCTTGAAACCTCTGCTCGAAATCTTCGTCGGAGATGGGATCGCAGACGCTGAGCTGTCTCATGAGCTCGATGAATCCTTTTCCCTTGTCTGATAGCTGTAGCTTGCGAACTTGGAAACTCGGCTCAGTAGCCATGGATGATTTTTAGTGCTCTCGTTCTCGTGGGTTGTTTGATTCGAGTACCGCACTGCAGATCGAGACAGAGGCTCAGCGTAAAAAATTTCCGGCGAGATTGGGGATTTTCGGAATTAAAGGGCTCGTGTTATAAAACTAATGGAAATGTAAACAACTACAAGAGAAGTGAGGGGAATAGTTCTTCTTATTCATACTCCATTTGTGATACAATAGTGTGCTCTATTTATAGGCACCCTTTGGTAACCATTACATCCTTACATCAATGAATATGAATTAGAGATAATAATATAGGAATGAGAGTTACATGTAACTCCCAAGTGAGCATCTAATGTGGTAGGCCATTGGTCATCCAAATATAAATATTTACATAATACTCCCCCTTGGATGACCACTAGATTGCATTATTACGATATCTCATGCTGCCTCATTAAAACCCTTACCAGGAAAACCCAGTGGGAAAAAACCATGGTTAATGGAAAAAGACTGCAGCGCGTATATGCTCCCCCTCATGACCACATCAGCTCAAGTCTTTGAGTCGTCGAACTCCAATTTCACGAACAAACTTTACAAAGATTGTCGTCGGGAGTGACTTGGTGAATAAATCTGCTAGATTCTCACTTGAGCGAACTTCTTGAACAATTATTTCACCACTCTTTTGAAGATCATGAGTGAAAAAGAACTTGGGTGGAATATGTTTTGTTCTATCTCCTTTAATATATCCTTCCTTTAATTGAGCAATCATGATGCATTATCTTCATACATGATCGTCGGGATCATTTTTCCTAGAGATAGTCCACACGATTCTCTGATGTGTCGATTTATAGATCTTAACCAAACACATTCACGACTTGCCTCGTGAATTGCTAGGATTTCAGTATGATTGGATGATGTAGCTGTTATAGTTTGTTTTGTGGATCGCCACGAAATGGCTGTACCACCACAAGTGAACAAATATCCTGCCTGAGATCTACCATTGTGGGGATCTGAGAGATATCCTGCATCTGCATATCCCACTAAATCCATCTTCGATGCACTCGAATAGAACGAGCCCATATCTGTCGTTCCTCGAAGGTAACGAAGTAAATGTTTAACTCCATTCCAATGTCTTTTAGTGGGAGAAGAGCTATATCTTGCCAATATATTCACAGCAAACGATATATCGGGTCGTGTATGACTGGCTAGATACATTAATGCTCCTATCGCACTAAGATATGGCACTTCAGGGCCAAGCAGATCTTCATCACTTTCTCGAGGTCTAAATGGATCTCTTTTCACATCAAGTGATCTTACAACCATTGGATTACTCAACAGGTGTGATTTGTCCATATAAAATCGCTTAAACACCTTTTCAACATATCCTTCTTGATGCACAAAAATACCATCCTTCAAATGTTCAATCTGTAATCCAAGACAAAACTTTGTTCTTCCTAAATCTTTCATTTCAAACTCTTTCTTCAAGCAATCAACTGCTTTTGGAAGCTCTTCGGGAGTTCCAATGATATTTATGTCATCAACATAAACTGATATTATAACAAACTCACTATCCGATCTCTTTAGAAAAACACATAGACAAATATGGTCATTCTTGTATCCTTCTTTCATCAAATATTCACTAAGACGATTGTACCACATTCATCCAGATTGTTTCAATCTATACAAGGATTTGTTCAATTTGATAGAAAAATTTTCTCGAGAATGTATTTTGTTTGCTTTTGGCAAAGTGAATCCTTCAAGGAGTTTCATATATATATATATATATATATATATATATATATATATATATATATATATATATATATATATGGTTCAGGCTAGCGTACATCCGGACGTACGCTAGCCTACCGTACGCCCATTGAGTTTTGCTATATAGATCATGAATTAATCGAAATTTAAGGTATGATACTATACCCTAACCTCTAATGGGTGAACCCCAGTCCCTAATTTTCTAACCCAAACCATGAGGTTCGTTTAATCTTAAAATGAAAACCAATGAAAATTTCGACGAATCAGAATCGTTGATTTTCATTTTTAAGATTAAACGAATCTCATGCTTTGGGTTAGTGAATTTGGGACTGGGATTCACCCATTAGGGGTTAGGGTATAGTATTATGTCCCAAACTCCGATTAATTCTTTGTCTAAATAGCAAAACTCAATGGGGCGTACGGTAGGCTAGCGTACGCCCGGACGTACGCTAGCCTTTGCCATATATATATATATATATATATATATATATATATATATATATATATATAAATCAAGGGTACGACATACCTTGAGTAAAAAAATGATATCTAGACCTCAAATTGAGCATAGTTTGGCGTCTGATATTATTCCCAAACCCTTAAGGATTAAAATCTAGGTCTTAGTTTTATAAATCTCATACACTAAGATCAATTTAATTAGAAACAATAATCAACGGCTATGATTTGTCGAAATATATGCAACAAATTACAGGCACAATCTTAGGGATTAGGCTCTTTGATTTAGAAATCTAAGACCTAGGTTTCAATCATCAAAGGTTAGAGTATAGTATCATGTCCAAAAACCCATTTGTATCCCACTGGCTTTACGTTTTCTGGTGTAAGGACTACCGGTCCAAAAACCTTTCGCTTTGAAAGCGAGTTTAATTCCGCCTCAATGGCCTCTTTCCACTTTGGCCAATCATCTTTTGATTTGCATTCATCAATAGATCTTGGTTCATGATCCTCATTTTCATTCATCACACTCAACGCTGCAGCGTAAGCAAAAACATCGTCGACGATTATTTTACTTCGGTTCCAACATTTTCCATCCAAGACATAATTGATTGAGATCTCTTCATTATCAAAACTTTCAGGTACCTGATGTTCTTCGGGAACTACAATCTTAGTTATGCTTGGGGACTCTTCTTGAGCTTTCATATCCTCGATTTGACCAACTTGATTCATAGCTCCTTTTCTTTTTTGAGGATTTTTATCCTTGGAACCTACTGGTCTACCACGCTTCATTCATGGTTTAGATTCATTTGCAATTTCAGATGGTCCAACAGGGACATCAACTTTCACTGGAGCATTTACAGCTGGTATGTGTGACTTTGTCACTCTTTTCTGGTCAGTAAACGAATCCGGCAGTTGGTTTGCTAAACCTTGTAAATGAATTATCTTTTGAACTTCCAGTTCACATTGTCTAGTACGAGGATCAAGGTGAGATAATGATAATTCATTCCAAAAAATATCTTTTCCCAGCTGTTTGTTCTCACCCCCTAATGTTGGAAAAACTGATTCGTCAAAATGACAATCAGCAAAACGAGCAGTGAATAAATCTCCCGTCAAGGGTTCTAAGTATTTTATGATTGACGGGGACTCATATCCAACATAAATTCCCAACCTCCTTTGAGGATCCATCTTAACACGCTGTGGTGGAGCAATAGGGATGTAGACGGCACACCCAAATATTTTTAGATGGGAAATATTAGGTTCCTGACCAAAAATCATTTGCAAGGGGGAAATTTCATGATAACTTGTTGGCCTTATGTGAATTAATGTTGTCTCATGCAATATAGCATGTCCCCAACAAGAAATTGGCAAGCTTGTTTTCATAAGCAATGGTCTTGCAATAAGTTGCAAACGCTTAATAAATGATTCTGCAAGGCCATTTTGTGTATGAACATGTGCTACAATATGTTCAACATCAATCCCAGTGGACATACAATAGTCATTGAAAGTTTGTGAAGTAAATTCACCAGCATTATCTAGACGTATTTTCTTGATTGGAAAATTAGGAAAATGTGCTCGTAGTCGTATCAATTGGGCAAGTAATCTAGCAAACGCCAGGTTGCGAGTTGATAGTAAGCACACATGTGACCATCTAGTTGATGCATCAACTAAAACCATAAAATATCTAAATGGTCCACATGGTGGGTGAATTGGCCCGCATATATCACCCTGTATACGTTCTAAAAATATGAGAGATTCACTCCTTACTTTCACAGGTGATGGTCGTATAATCAACTTGCCACGAGAACATGCAACACATGGTACATCTTTAAACTGATAAATTTTGTGACCTTTCAATGGATGTCCACATGTATTGGCAATGATTTTTCGCATCATAATCAATCCGGGATGGCCTAACCGGTCATGCCAAACTATAAAAAATATCAAGATTTGTAAACTTCTGGTTTACCACATCATGTGTTTCAATTGTACTAATAAACGTGTAGTACAACCCAGAAGAAATAGCAGGCAATTTCTCCAATATGTATTTTTTATCGGAGACCATATTTGTTATCAATATCATAATATACTCTTTATTCTCTTCTTCCTTTGTCTCAATATGATATCCATTTCGGCGAATATCTTTGTAACTCAATAAATTTCTTTGAGACTTTGAAGAGTATAAGTCTTCATTGATATATAACTTGGTTCCTTCTGGTAACAATACACTAGCTCTTCCGGAGCCTTCAATTAGATTTGTACTTCCAGATATAGTACTAACATTTGCTTCTCGCATTTCAAGATGAGAAAAATATTTCTTATCCTTCAAGATTGTATGTGTCGATGCACTATCAATAAGACACACATCATGGTTTTTGATCTTGGTGCTAAGCATGGGGATATTCATTCTTCACAAAAGATAGAAAGTAAATCAATATAAGAAAAATATCTCCAAATAAATATAAAAATAATGACATGATTATAATAAATGAAATTTAACCACATAAGGATTATAAAGAGAAATTATATTAAACTTACACATTAAAAGGAAAAACACACTCAAGGAAAACGACAAAGAAAGTGAAATTTCAAATGGGAAACCTAAACTTTTCACTTGTGAACAAAGCGACAACGAAATAGAAATTTCAAATGGAAATACTAAGTTTTTCATTTGCGAACATTCCCATCACCAATCAGGTGATCTATTCTTCCCTCAGGGTGGGCAAATAAGTCTGACACATCTAGATGAGTAGCATCATTATAGTATTTTCCTGAATCATCTTCCTCAGAAATACAATTGGTTTCGATCTTCTTCCCTTTCAATGATTCTTGGTAGAGGTTAACCAAGTGTTTTGGCGTACGACAGGTACGAGACCAATGACCTTTTCCACCACAACGGTAACACACATTTTCGACGTGTTTGTTACCATGAACACTTTGTTCCTTGCTTCTTCTACCATCATTTTTTCCATTTCTGGGGAAAAATGAGCTTTTGGAACTTTCACCACGACCAAGATCTCGGCCACGGCCACGACCTCGAGCATGAGCATGACCACGCCCACGTCCTCGTCCATGTCCACGTCCAAGTATTTGCCCATAAAGATATTGGGTGAACGTTGCCGCATTCGCTTCTGGGAATGGGGCAACACTAGTAGGACGAGATTGATGATTTTTCATTAGGAGCTCATTATTTTGTTCAGCAACAAGGAGAAAAGAAATCAGCTCAGAATATTTCTTGAAACCTTTCTCACGGTATTGCTGCTGCAGGAGCACATTAGATGCATGAAAAGTGGAGAATGTTTTTTCCAACATATCTTCATCAGTAATATTTTCTCCACATAACAATAGTTGTGAGGTTATTTTGAATAGCTCCGAATTATAATCACTCACAGATTTAAAATCTTGTAACCTCAAATGCATCCAATCATAACGAGCCTTAGGAAGAATCACAGTTTTTTTGGTGGTCATACCGCTCTTTCAAATTAGTCCACAAAATAAGTGGATCTTTGACCGTAAGATACTCATTCTTCAATCCCTCGTGGAGGTGATGTCGAAGAAAAATCATTGCTTTAGCTTTGTCTTGATCTGATGTTTCATTGCCCTCTTTAATCGTGTCTCCAAGACCGTTGGCAGCTAAATGAATTTCAGCATCTAGCACCCCATGATAGGTAATTCTTTCCAGTGACATCAAGAGCCACAAACTCAAGCTTTGAAAGATTCGGCATACTATCATAAAAATATACACAAATTAAAGTCAAAATTCAATAAATAAATATAGAATACTATCAAGACAAATGACTTATGTGATCCATAATATATCAATTTGATATTTTTACAAATATATAAATAAATTCGAATTTCAAAATAAAAAAATTATAAAGGCAAAATATATTGAGATTTTTATACTACTACGAAGTATATATGATCATGACTTGCTAAAAAAAAATTATTAAGAAGGAAATTATACCTTTGCATTCTCAAACAAAGATTTCATGTGTTGATTAATAAAGAAAATTATGTAAATTGAAATAGGACAATAAAAGGAACAATTTGGGAGAATCGACATACCTTGAGCAGAACAATTATGGATTTAACCTTTTCAAAAGGAAGAGTCTCGTGTTGATAACGTGTTATAAAACTAATGGAAATGTAAACAACTACAAGAGAAGTGAGGGGAATAGTTCTTCTTATTCATACTCCATTTGTGATACAATAGTGTGCTCTATTTATAGGCACTCTTTGGTAACCATTACATCATTACATCAATGCATATGAATTAGAGATAATAATATAGGAATGAGAGTTACATGTAACTCCCAAGTGAGCATCTAATGTGGTAGGCCATTGGTCATCAAAATATAAATATTTACATAATAGCTCGGACTTTTATGGCACTCAACTAAAAAATGTTACTAAATGGTCACTTAAGTGAAAAAGGGGTCAAATTGTAAACCATCAGAACTTGGAGGATCATTTGATAAAACAGTTGGGAAGAGCAAAGTTAGACTCGCCGGGACAACAAACGGCGACCACCAGTTACATGATTCAAAGATATCTATACCTCTCATCTGGCAAATAAGATGAGATAGTGCCTGATAATATCTGAGACTGAGAGAGGGAGCTGAGGGAAGGGAATCTACGATGATGCGTCTCGACAAGATTCAGCCGACGGTCCACCGCCCCTCGGCTTTCTCCGGCTTCACTCCCTCTCTTGGCAGCCGCGTCGGTTCCACTGTCAAAGTAATGTCGCGCATGGTCACAGATAAAGCCCCCGCCTCCTCCGCCACGTCTCCACCTAAAAGAGCTGTCTCCGCCTTCGAAGCTCGAGTTTCCCTCGTCTTCGCCCTTGCTGCTCAGACCACCAATGTTTCTCAGCGACGTAATTCTTCGTGAAATTTCGGTTTCCTCTGTTGTTGCTCTCTTCCCATGCCATGGATCTTCAATTCTATTATGTGTTTCGTCGGTGTCTCATGCAGTTCTGCGCGATTTGGCGAACGAGACTGCCAGATACGTCTTCCCGAAGCGGTTCGAGAGCCGGAATTTGGAGGAGGCTTTGATGGCAGGTACTCATGTTTCCAAATTCCACATCGGGTTGATCTAAAACTCATGAATTGAATTGAATTGAATTCAATTGATCTTGGATCAAATCTAAATATGTGTTTGATTTTGTACAGTGCCTGATCTGGAGACACTGAAGTTCAAGGTATTGAACAGGAGAGACGAGTACGAGATAAGAGAGGTCGAGGTAATAATAATATTCGTGATGTCCTTAATGGCTTCATTTTTTATTTTAATTTTCTTGCTTTTATCGGGGTTGGGGTTTGTAATCAATGGTTTTGGAACAGTCTTACTTCATAGCGGAGACCACAATGCCGGGAAAGGCTGGATTCGATTTCAGTGGTGCTTCTCAGTCCTTCAATGTCTTAGCTGAGTACTTGTTTGGTAAGGTAGTCATGGAAGCTGCATTATGCATTTATGCTCACTTTGGCCTCAATCAGATATCTCTGTTGTTTTTTCACTTCTCACTCAAACACATCTTCAAATTCCTTAACTTTCTGGTTCGACTTTTTGGATCTAGAATATGGTGCAAGAGAAGATGGAAATGACAACTCCAGTCATTACCAGTAAGACCCGGCAGCCCGTTGGGGAGAAAATGGACATGACGACTCCTGTGATAACAAAGAAGGTGAATTTGGTTGTAATCGTTGATCTACTGTTTGTGTTGGTAATGGTATCATTGGAGTCTACTGAATTAATCCATGTGCCACATGGAAATGCTTGTGTTCATTTCAAGATAAGAGATGACTGATTGAATATGTAACCATTCAAATTATTTTCGATTCATTTTCTCAGGTGGAAGATGAGGAGAAGTGGCAGATGTCCTTTGTATTGCCCTCGAAATATGGCTCCGATTTTCCATTGCCCCAAGACCAAACCGTGCGGATCATTGAGGTGCCAAAGAGAGTTGTGGCAGTTGTTGCTTTCTCAGGTTTGCAGTTTTAGCATGCCCTGAAAATTCCCATTGTTCGTTTAGCTGTGTTAACTACTAACCGATGTTATTCTGCTCCCTACCTATTCGTGTAAATCAGGGTTCGTCACAGATGAAGAAGTTAAACAGCGCGAAGTTACACTAAGAGCCGCTTTACGAAGTGAAAGAGAGTTCAAAGTCAAAGAAGGTGCATCAGTGGAAGTTGCACAAGTAAGATTAATCCTATCTTAAATCAGCTCACTTTCTTGAAGAAAATTCCAGCACTAAGATACATATCCTGTTGGTTGGCAGTACAATCCACCTTTCACCCTGCCATTCAACCGCCGGAATGAGATTGCAATAGAGCTGGAAAGGAAGGTAGAGGCAGCTGCTTGATAATAGAGACTCCAGATGCCAGAGCATGTATATATATGTAAATGTAGACATAGTATCACCAGTGTGCCTGTATTGTCATTTCAGCTTTCACATGCTGTAACAAAGGTGACCACTTCGCCACTTATGGTAACGGGATATGTATAAATACGAACAGAATGCATCTTGCTGAGATTATGTTTCAGCTTTTACATGTTGATTACAAAGATGACCCTTTTGCCGCTTGTGCCATGGGGATATGTGTATGCGAATGTTTGTTTTTGAATATATATATGTACGAATGTTCTATGCACAGCTCTGAATGGTTTTCAGTTTCATAGGTGTTTGGTGCAAAACTTAGAAACTTCTCGATTCCTGCCTTGAGAAACACGTTAGCTACTGTACTCAAAGTAAAGAACAACATCAGCAAATGAGTTCATGAGTCATTCATTGCTATTGAGACTGAAAACCTGGCTGGTTGCACTGGTTGCACATCGTAGCCAGAAGTAGGGAGATGCAAATGAGAGAGGCAAACCAAGCAAGTTGTGGTCCTTACGTTTTCCTGTGGGAAATTAATGAACAGAGGAAAGCACTAACCATTGTTTGGAGTAACATATAAGTTTGAATTGGTCATGATTTTTTATTCACATTTGGGTTAAACTAGTTTATTTTCTCGGCAACAGCTGGCCGAGTGCCCTCGACAGCGCTAGCCGAGAAATCTTGGCACCGATATATGTTCTGTTCTCGTCGATTAGATTAGATCCACCATATGACTACTTCTCATTAGTGTAGTCCTACTTTCTTTCATAAATTAGAATGATAACAGCAATAACTGCCATAGTGGCCCGTATCACTGCTTATGGGCTATGGCTTTGGTAAGCACTGGAATCATGATTTTATCCACGAAGAACAACACTTTAATCATGGTCACTTCTGAAGTAGCCCGCTGTTTGACCAGTTTAACATTTTGGTCCATGAGACTGATTCAAACTGACACAGATCAGAAGCAGCTCAAAGCTCGTTTGCTGAATTCCCATATTGTATATTGGATTGAAGGATACAGTTTTGTTAGTAATTCTTATGGAATACATGCAGGAAACTTTTTGACTAGTTCGAGGACTTCCTCTGCTGGACTGGTGCAGTAAAATTGTACCCTTTTCTCTTATGTATAACCTATTCTACGTATTACATGTAATCCAGAAGAACATCAACTAAAACTTTTTCCTTCAGTACTAAGCCACTTCAGGAATACTGTCCAGTACAGGCAGGCTTCCAACTTCTCTGCCATTCTTCTGCCTCCTCCTGCTCTTGAGGATCTTCTCCTTCCCCAACATCTAACCTTAACCAATCTCTTCTGATCCTGTAGATGAGAAATGTTGAGAAACGGGGCAGCAACCACAAGCAAGAATAGAATGCACAAGACACACGATTTTTACTTGAAAAATCCAAATCGGGAAAAACCACGGGACCTTTGTCCAAACCACGGATCCACTAGACTTTGGTGGGATTACAAGTCCTCTCTACTCTCTAGACTAGCTAGAGGATTACAAACACCTCAAGAACACCCTTCTTGGATCAACAATCAACCACAATAGCTCTCACCAACATGGTGGATAACTAGAACAAGAGCAAGACAAAGAGAAGTTTAGAGGTACCAAATACAGATTTGTACACCTTCTGTCCAGCAGCGATTCCCGAAGAACTAAACCTTTAAACAATGATCCCTCCGGTCGGATTGAAGACCAGATAATTTCGAACCATATGTCCAATTTCAAGACGATCCAACGGTTCGATTTTACAGAACATTCACTTGAACAGGTTGCCCTGTTGCAGAAACGAAAAACTGCAGCTCTTTCTTTCTCTCTTCTCTCTTTTCCTTAACTCTTCTCTTTTCCGATTCTCTCTCTGAAAATGAAAGGTTGTATCTCTTTGCACTTTTTGGCCAGACAATAACCCTTTATTTTGAAAACAGAGGATCTTCTAGAAACCAATCAAAACTCAAACTGGTTAATCCAACCACCATATGAGTTGGACCAACCCAACAAATCTCCCCCTCCAGCTCATATGGGGGGTAGCACCAAACCTCCCTCATCTCGACAGAAGATATGTTTCCCACTTGGTAGAGACTTAGTCATCATGTCTGAACCATTGTCATCCATATGCACTTTGTTGAGCTCCAACAACTTCTCTTCCAAAACATCACGAATCCAATGATATGGAACATCTGTGTGTTTCGACCTTGAGTGGAAAGTAGGATTCTTGTAAAGATGGATTGCACTTTGACTATCACAATAGAGCACATACCTCTATTGCTTGATGCCCAACTCTTAAATAAACTTCTTCAACCATAACAGCTCTTTGCAAGCTTCCGTCACGGCTATGTACCCGGCTTCCGTTGTTGATAATGCAACACATTTTTGAAGTTTAGATTGTCATGAAACTGCAGCACCTGCAAAAGTCATCGTGTATCCAGAAGTCGACTTTCTACAGTCCACATCACCTGCCATGTTAGCATCGGTATATCCATCAAGTATGATCTTGCCATTACCAAAGCATATACACACTCTAGAAGTACCTCTCAAGTAGCGAAGAATCCACTTCACTGCTCTCCAATGTTCTTTTCCCAGATTGGAAAGAAACAGACTAACAATCCCAACGACATGAGCAATATCAGGCCTTGTGCAAACCATGACGTACATCAAGCTTCCAACAGCTGATGCATAAGGAACATTCTTCATTGCTTATTTCTCTTCATCACTTGTAGGACAATGCTTCACACTCAACTTGAAATGTCTTCCAAGTGGAGTACTAACCACCTTAGCCCTGCTCATGTTGAACCGCTCAAGAACTCTTTCAATATACCTTTCTTGAGACAATCAAATATTTTCATTCCTTCGATCCCTAGAGATTCTCATCCCTAGAATTTGTTTCGCCGCTCCTAAGTCCTTCATGGCAAATGATTTACTCAACTCCTTTTTCAATCTATCAATCTCGCCAACATTCCGATCCATGATCAATATGTCATCCACGTAAAGCAAGAGAATGATGAAATAATTTTCAACAAAGTATTTCACAAACACACAATGATCGGAGGTAGTTCTTGCGTACCCGTGGTTGACCATGAATGAGTCAAATTTCTTTTACCATTGCCTTGGTGCCATATAAGCTCTTTCTCAATCTACATATCAAATTCTTCTTTGCCTTTAACCTCAAACCCTTCCGGCTGATCAATGTAGATTTATTCATCTAAGTCACCATGAAGAAACACCGTCTTCACATCGAGTAGTTCAACTTCTAAGTCCAAACTTGCAGCCAACCCAAGTACAACTCGGATAGAGGACATCTTCACCATGGGAGAGAAAATTTCTTCAAAGTCAACACCTTTCTTTTGGTTGAAACCCTTCACAACTAGTTGCGCCCTAAACCGTGACTTTGAACTAGTTTCCTCCGTCTTTAACTTGTAGCCACTTGTTCTTCAGTGATCTTTTTCCTTTGGGTAGCTTCACCAAATCATAGGTGTGATTCTCTTGCAAAGACTTCATCTCTTCTTGCATTGCTTTGTTCCACTCCTCCTTATCTTCATAAGATATGGCTTCTTGATAATATTTCGGTTCTCCCCCGTCAGTCAACAATAGGTAATCATGAGGGGAGTACCAAGTGGAAGATTTGCATTCTCTTGTTGACTTTCTTGGTTCGGGTAGATGTTGCTCTTCTTCAACTTATTCTTCATGCTCCAATTGCTCTTTTTCTTGCACTTCTTGATCTAGTGCACCTTGGGGCTTATCATGCACTACTTCCTCAACATTTTCATGCACTTGGGATGGAGATATATGCTCCAAATTAACCGGACCAGCTGCTGTATTTTTCTTCTTTTCACCCCTTTTGACGTCTTCACTTGTCTCATCTTCAAGAAAAATTACATCCTGACTCCGAATAATTTTCCTTGCAATTGGATCCCATAATCTGTACCCAAACTCTTCAGGCCCATAGCCCATGAATATACATGGCTTTGCTTTGTGATCAAGCTTTGCTCTCTCATCTTTTGGAACATGAACATAGGCTTTGCAATCAAACACACTTTTCTGCAGTTTAATTCCATGCAATCTGCAGTAGCTTTCGAATGGGCCTCTATACTCTCCCCCGTTATCAGCCCTTACACACTTCAACGTGAGCCCGATTTCCCTTTCAACTTCAGTATGAAATTGCTTGAAAACATCTAGCACTTGATCCTTCATTTTCAAAGCATATGTCCACACCTTCCTTGAGTGATCATCGATGAAGGTAACATAATAGCTTGCACCACCAAGAGTTTCATCTCGCATAAAATAAACATCAGTGTGAGTTTGATCAAGTACCTTACTCCTCCTAGAAGGTGGAAAGATATGAAATGCAACTCTATGCGTTTTTTCGGCTAAGCAATCAACAAAAGTTTTAAGAAGAGTACCTTTAGCTCCGGGCAAGAGTTGTTTCTTGGAGAATATTTGCATCCCCTTCTCGCTCAAATGACCGAGTCTCTTATGCCAAAACTCAATAGAAGAATCTTTCTCAGCAACATTGATTCCTCCCTTGCTATGCTTTGCATTTGTCATGTAGAGCGTACTTTCCTTCTTGCCTTTTGCCCCCACAAGAGAACCTCTTGAGAGCTTCCATTTTCCTTGTCCAAAATAGTTGGTATAACCATCATCATCAAGCTTTCCTGTGGATATCAAATTCAATCTCATATCAGGAACATATCTCACATCCTTCAAGGCTAAATTGCAACCCGTGTTGGTATCTAGATGAATATCACCCATGCCTACAATCTTTGATGCACCATCATTTCCCATCCTCACACAACCATAGTTACCGTTTGTGTAGGAAGAGAAAAAATCAACCCGTGAGCTCACATAGATTGAGGCACCGTGTCAACAACCCATGTACTCTCTTGACATGCAAGGTTAACAAAACCGGCATCACAAACAATGACTACATCACCATCTGTGGCAGCAGCAGTAGTATCATCTTTTTCTCGGTTTTCCACACCATTTCCTATATCTTGTTCCCGTTTCAAGATTATGCACTCTCTCCTCATGTGTCCGGGCTGGTTGCAGTGATAACACGTGATTTCTCCCCTTGATCTTGAGACTGATTTTGATCTCCCTTTTGATCTCTCTCGGCTGTTACTTCGATTCTGATAGTTCTTGAAGTTGGAATTTCGATTTCTGCTTCTTCCACGACTTCCAGAATTATCCGCCACCAAAGCATGTGACTCTAATGTAATCTTCAACTCTTTTCTCCTTGCCTCTTTATTCAGAATCCTATCCTTGACAATGTCCATCGTCAACTTGCCATTAGGTGCTGAGTTGCTAAGTGAGACCACCAAAGTCTCCCAACTATCCGGCAAAGAACTAAGAAGTAACAATGCTTGTACTTCATCATCAAGTACTAACTTCATAGTAGTTAGCTGGTTCACAAGCCCCTGAAAGTCAATCAAATGCTCCGAGACACTATGCACATCCTTGTACTTCAAGTTCACAATCCTTCGAATGAGTGAGGCTTTGTTCTGAGCCGATTGCCTCTCATACATGGACTCCAATTTCTGCCACAATTCATCTGCTCTTGTATCTTTTGCAACATGATGAAAGATACTTTGGTCAATCCATTGTCGAATGATTGCCACCATCTTTCTATGCAAGACCTCCCATTGCTTCTCGGTCTTTATCTACCGGCTTCTCGCTGCCATTTTCAATTGGCTCATAGAGATCCTTGCAAAACAGAATATCCTCCATCCATGGCTTCCAAATAGAGTAGTTGGATGATTTCAACTTGATCATTGCTCCACTTGAGTCATCCATTCTTGCCATTCACCATATACAGCCCCCAAACAACCAGGATCTGATACCATAGTTGAGAAACAGGGCAGCAACCAGTCCAAACCACAACTCCACTATACTTTAGTGGGATTACAAGTCCTTTCTAGACTAGCTAGAGGATTACAAACACCTCAAGAAAACCCTTCTTGGATCAACAATCAACCACAATAGCTCTCACAAACATGGTGGATAACTAGAACAAGAGCAAGACAGAGAAGTTTAGAGGTACCATAAACAGATTCGTACACCTTCTGTCCAGCAGAATTATCAACGAACTAGACATCCAAACGACGATCCCTCTGGTCAGATTGAAAGCCCAGATAATTGCAAACCCACTGTACAAATTTTAGAACGATCCAATGGTTCGATTTTTCAGAACACTCAATTGAACAGGCTGCCCTGCTGCAGAAACAAAAACTGCAACTCTTTCTTTCTCTCTTCTCTCTTTTCCTTATCTCTTCTCTTTTTTGATTCTCTCTTTGAAAATGAAAGATTGTATCTCGTTTTACTTTTTGACCAGACAATAACTCTCTATTTTGACAATAGAGGATCTTCTAGAAACCAACCAAAACTCAAATCGATTAATCAAACCACCATATGAGTTGGACCAACCCAACAAGAAACCATGTTACTCACAGAAGCTCAATCTTTCTTCAGCAGTTCCTCCAGCTTCTGCATGGTAATCACCAGCTTTATTCTCACCACTCCTCCACTTTTTACAGCAACTTTATCATTCTTCGTTCTACCTTCGTATTCTAGCTATTCTCTTTCTCTCCTCCTCCTTCTGGAACTGCAAACCTCACTTTCTGCTTCTTAACAACTAGCTGTGGTGCAGATGTTGGTGTTGAAGGCAGAAGAGGGACGAGGTAATACAAGCGACCTCCCACGAGCTTGACTTCTGGCAAGAATTTCTGCTGCTGTTGCAGAAGTGATGGATAATCACAGACTAATTGGCCCGGGGAATCGGACAGTACTTGCTGGACTGTGGTTGGTGATGTGTATTCCAGGATCTTCCCATCCGGTCCCATCACCTTCACCACTTTCTCTTCTACAACCATGCAATTCCCCATGGCTTTCTTTCTTTAGGATCAATTACAGGTCTTTTCACTGCTTTCTTAGAGTATCTCTAGTGGTGCAATCAATATGCAATTTTAAGAGTGGTCCCTACTGCCACTTCATCAACTTTAACAATCATCTCGCTCTTCATTTTCATACCACATACATCCGTGCAATCCATATGCAATTGCAACTGTGGGTCCTACTCGCTTTTTTAATACAAATTAATATTCATATTATCTCTATTATTTTACTTAAATATTGTAATATCTTTTCAACTTAAATTAATATCTTCCTATAATTATCAATTAAAGTTAATAAATATAATTATAAAATTTGAATTACTAATTCACGAGTGTGTTAAACTATAATGTATTAATTCGTTGTATTAACGTGTTTAGTGTGTTTTTTCTTCTCATTTTCTGCTTTGTAGTTGTAATAAATAAAGATATATGCAAATTTGATTGTATTTATATATTTATTTATATTTGGAATATATATATATATGTATTATTATTTTAATTTAATTAATAATTAAAATACTTGGAGTGAAATGCAATGGGAGTGAAATGGAAACGAAGAAAGACAAAAAGTGGAACTGCAAAAAAAGAAAAGACCGTCTTCCACCAAGAATAAAGAAAGAATAAAAAAATAAAATGAACCCACATTTGGCTTGCAAGCCCACTTTCATGGTGTGCAAGTTTGCACCCGTGAAACTCTCCCTACAATAATGCAAACCCACTTTTCCAAATGCAAGAGGGTGCCACATCAGCATGCAATTGCCCCATTTGCACCGTTTGGGGTGCTCTTAGTTGTTTCTTTCTCAGGGAGAGGTGGAAATTCAATTCAATTGTGTTAGGAGACTGCAAAGTATGTGTGTACTTATAAGAAGTAAGTTCTGAAGGTGGTCTTGTGACAACCAGGATATTACAGGAAATGCCACCCACCATATATTTTTCTGTGGAGTCCATGACATGATGTTGGATTTGATTTTTTAGTTTGTGATTCCTGCTTTACTTGGCTGGGAAGGAGCGTAAGCAAGAATGTCTGTTTGCAACAAAAAATTGAATTTGGTTCCTCTTACTCATTTTATATTTTAACTTGTCATCATAATGGGAGGTAGTAATTGTAAGAACATCCACCAATTACAAAACCAATTTATTTGTATTATCGTCTCAGATAATCCAACTAAATTTTATTTCATCAACCTACATCAATGCATTTCTCTTTCAATTGCATATATGAGAACTTAACTATTAATTATAATAAACTATAATCCCACGGCTACACCGCAGGAAGTATTTGGTTATAGGTCAGAAAATTTGGTTATGGTCATGCAAGCTAACTGAAGTCGGATTCGAATTTTACGATTAATAGTTAAGTCGGATTAGAATAGTTGCAAACAATGTAGTCAAAATCGCGCTTTAAAGTTTAAAAACTTACAATTTTACGTTTCTAGGTCTCTAAAATGCTTCTACGCAAAATTTCAGCTTTTATAACTTATGTAGTTAAAACTCATTTTAAAACTTAAAAAATTACAATTTTACGTTTCTAGTTCACCAAAACGTTTCTACATACAAACTCACTTTTGACTACATTGGTTGCATATTTGGTTTTAGATAATTTTTGGTGTTTGGTGTAAATGCACACCAAAATGCAAAATAAAATCCCCAGACAATCGCAAAATTAAACTACCCCAAAGCCCAATGGCCTACCCCATTAGGTAACCTAAACCTAAAATAATAACAAATAGGTTAATTCGTTGAACGGGGATAACCGCAAGTCTGCAACATAACCAAAAATCATAATATTCGATTCTCAAGTAACCGCAACAACAACAACAATTACAATTGCTAAAATGACAATAATTTGATTTTGGATAACCAACGAATTTGGTTTGAATAACAAAAACTGAACCGTGGTTCAGCCCTATTTGGTTAATGTATAGACATGTTTAGTATCAATCCAATTCGACCCGCGCATCACTCGAAACACATGGAGTTATGTGTCTTATAGTTTGATTTGGGTAGTGCATCACTTGACCTGAGGCATATGAGTTGCATGGTTGAGAGGGTTCAAAACTCTCACCCCGATTCATGTAGACTCCAAATCATAGTTCATTTTATTGGTCTCCTTTCCTTAAATCTAATGAAAGGAAAGAAAAATAATGAAGTACACAATAGATGTCAAACAACATAAAGCAAATTAAAAATTGATATAATTTGAAACCTAGAGAGAAGAGAGCGCGTTTCAGCTAAGAAAAGAGAAAGAGGAGTGAAAATGAAGTGTGAGATGGAGTGGTGGCAAAAAATGACCCCCTTATATAGATCCTAGAGCAAAGGCAGTGGGGTGGCAGGTCCAACCATCGCTGCTTCCCTTTGCATTCTTCATCAAATTTTTAGTATTTTTTCGTTGGAACACTTACCTCGACAATACAAAAGTTGAGGGCTCCAAGCATAGCAACTTCTACATTTGCATGAGCATACTGTCACTTTTTGATATGATCCTAGATTATGCCCTAAACATGAATCAATTGCTTGCCAAATGATCAATCAATGTAGGAAGGGAAAATGGAAGAATTTGGCTAAGTGTCCGGACTGTTTCGTGGTGCTTAATTTACCAGTTTGTATCTTACATCCTAGTCGATGGAATTGAAGAAAAAGGGTGTAGATTTGAAGTTCAATTGCTTGACTACAAGTTTGAAGCCTTGGTTGAGCAAGATCGATCGAGTGAAGGCGTTTTCCAGAAGCCTCAAGTTGCTATGGTGAAACTGGCAGACTACCTGATTTTTGCTAAGTCTGGAAAATTGAATTTTCCGACGACGGGGAAAATACAAATGGAGAGTACGCGATGATCATGAGGATTCCGGTGCCGGGGATGGATGTAGGAAGATCTTGGTAGCATGGCAAACACGACTCATGAGTTCCAGTGCTATGGAAAGAGGCGATTCGACATGTCGCCGAACTCAGAGGGTCGCCAGAGATCGATTTTCCGGCCACAAGGTCCTCTTTTCAAGATTCTTTCTAGGTGTCCTTTGTTGGTGATTTTGGAAGCAGGAGTGGACCAGCTTTGAGGGAAAAGATTTTTAAAGAAGGGGGTCCTATACTGCACCCGACTAGAGTTTATACTTGGACTCTAGTCGGGTTTTAATTCGCTGTGTAGTCCGTGGAGAGTCAAAGTCACCACAAGAATCTCTTTAGCTGACGTCGAAGAAACACAGGCTGTCAAGTGTGCAGTTGATCCCGCTAAGGCGGAGTTTTCCTCCGATGACTTGAATGACCATGTCATGCGGCAACAAATCTTGGTGGCCGGTGCTGAGTCTCAGTCTGACCACAAACTAGATGCGGCAGTATGGGTTTGTGAATCATTTTCTAGGTTTGAATAGAAGATCCTCTACAGCAGGAAGAAAAGGAGAAAGCGGCCACCCTACACCATTACGGCCGCGTTTTCTGCTCTGCCCGTATGCACATAGCACAACAGAGTTGCGTCTGACTGCCGTTGAGCAAGAGCTGCGCGAATGCGTCATGAGATCGGAGAGGTCGTGGAATCCCCTGTTGCCACAAATTCTGACAACGGCTGAAATGGATTCCAGGTTGGTAGTTGATGGGAGAAATCTCATCAACTCTTATAGTAGGCTAAGTGAAAAGGATACTCTCGCCATTGGAATTACAGAGGGTTTAGGTTGAGGTGTCCATGAACTCATACTAGCAGTTCACTATATATATTTGGGGTTATATTAAGGGATGCACTTTGCTAGAATTATGTATGCATTAGGAGGATCTTCCCTGAAACACATTGTAATTAGGATGGGTTATCAATAAATATCAGGTGGAGAAATGAACATCATGATCTATAGGGGAGTGAGAGAAAGTGCTTGGGGCTAGATTCTGCGAATCAAGTGTTGAATAAGGAGTTCGAGCAGTTAGTTTGTGGTTCAGTGGCTGGAGATTGGAGGTGGGGGAATCAACTAAGTTTTATCCAAGCACGCCACTAGCGTATGGCTTCAAGGGAATATGGTAAGAGGAAGGCAAAAGTATATTAATTAGTATATATAAAGTGCAAGTATGCTTAAGGGGTCTAGTAGGATGTTGGAAGGTGTACCGTAAGACCACCTAACACTTATCTTAAAAATTATTTTCCCCCAAAATAGATGTGGGAGGGTGTACCATAGGACCACCTAACACTTACCTTAAAAATTATTTTTTCCCATAATGCACGTTTTTCTAACTGTCGGTTAGGCAAGTTTCCCACTTTTGCTAGGACTTATATTAAATGAGCTTTATTTTTATTCTCACGTATAAGTTTTTTTTACTTTTTAATCCACGTTTTTCTAGCTGTCGATTAGGCAAGTTTCTAGGACTTATGTTAAAGGGTTTCTTTTCCTCCCACATTTTTCTATCGTATAATTTTTTTTTACTTTTTAACCCACGTTTTTCTAGTTGTCGATTAGGCAAGTTTCTAGGACTTATGTTAAAGGGTTTTTTCTTCTCCCACATTTTTCTGTCGTAGATTCGTGACTAATTAAATGTTATACTTAGATGCAAGTTTTACATGTCATTAGTCATTAATCAGTGTATGGACTTTGCTATGACTAGGAGAAATACATTTATTGGTACCTCAAATGATAAATACCAACCAAATCAATCTTAATCTGAAATAGTTTGATATTATATTAGTATAGCAGCTTATACACCCAAGCATACAAACTGGGTTAGGAGGGGCAATTGTAACACAACAAATCTTTTGGCACAAAAGAAGCAAAGTAAACAAAGAGTTATATACCACATACTAAATTAAATAACATCATATTACAAACAATAATAAGGTTGCTTGAATTGAACACGAGATATCGAAAACTTCCTCTTTGTGTATATAAATACTAGGATATTATGTTCAATTGACTAAACTTATACTTTCCTATTATTAAATAACTCACAATTCTCTGAATCTAAATTTAGTTTCACTTTAATCATTCATCAATGCAACTAAATATTTCATTCTTCTAAAATATTTCATCATAAACATCAGTTAATAAGAATTAGCCATTTGTTACAATCATATGTACATAACTTATACTTAAATATTATTAAATCACTCATAATTCTCTAATTCTCAATTTAATTTAACTATAATTACTCATCAATACAACTAAGCAATTCATTCTTCTAAAATAGAGCATACACACAAGTCAATCAAAATTAGTCATTTCTTACAATCGTGTAGTTAATTATAAATTTGGTTATTAAGGATGAACCGTGTCCTTCATTTATTTGAGAGGGCTTTGAGGCTCAGTGAGTTAAGAGAAGGTTTAGTGTATCATGTTAAATTTTTTGGGAATGCTCGATATCTTGGTATATAGCAATTTCAATGGCATATCTGGAATATTGAATACTACTTAAAAATCAATGTTAATCACAAACCCAAAAAATTAACTCAGTAATCGATAATACCAAATAATGATAAATTTTGTGTGGTACTTGATGGATCCCAAACACTTAAACCAAACTTCCACCCCTAGCTTGGAACAATATTTTTGATATGGCAATCCTTGGGTGTTGGTCACTGACTTTCCAAGTAATGATTAATTACTAATCAACTTAAATCGCTACTCATTAAATAGGGATAAAACTAATATGCACATGGACATGGTTACATGGAATAACTAAGTATTTTCATCCCTTAATGAGATTTAATATGCCACTAACTTTCGATTACCCCTAACCAACCACTGTCCAAATAAAAAAACACTACCAAATTAGCCTGACCACTATTCACACGACCTCACGCAAGAACTTCATGTTAGACTTCATTAGTAGACTTTTTCCTGGCCAAATCAATTATGGTATGTTCGTTGTCCAAGTTTGAAGATCGTTACATACAGAAATTTACACACACACACAATGACTTAAAACCTAACTTTATGTTAAGTATCTTTAAAAAAAACTATTTGTTAAGTATCATTAGATTTGGTTCAATCGAGGTTGGATGACCATCATTACTTGATTTCGTTATTATAGATTTTGTAATGTGCGTCCAAAAATTTGGAAAAAATTATTCAATAAAAATCTAAATTCGTATCCCAAAAGTTAACAATTATTGAAAAGCTTCTTTCGTATTCTAATATCATCAACCTTCATTTAAATTAAAGTATTTTTCAATTCTAATATTAATAATTGACTAGATAAACCGCAGCGAAGCGCATGCCAATTATCTAGTTAATTATTAATATATAAAAGCCAAGTTTGGTGTTACTAATCATTAGTGGCTCTCATACTCCTCCTTGCAAGTGGGAAAGTTTCAAGTTCCATCTCTTACCCCACTCTCCCATTCTACAACCTTTGTGTTCATTTATTGTCCATTGGGTCTACATCTATTGTCCATAAGATTTCATCTATTGTTCATTGTGTTCCCTATTGCAAAAATTATTAATTAATTATATAATATAGGGCTGGTAACCGGTTCGGTAAAGGTTAACCGGTTACCGACTGAACCGGTTACGGTATACCGACATCGTCAAAATGGGGATCGACTACCGGTACCGAATTCTAACCGGTTAACCGGATAGCCGGTTACCGGTTACCATCGGTTAATACCGAGAAACCGAGAGGCACTGCTGAGTGCGGAGAATCTTCACTTCCTCTTCTCTTCTCCCTCAAAGCCGACCACCACCAGATGCTTCTTCACCTTCTTCTTCCCCTCTTCATCAACAGCCAACAATATCTCTATCTCATCCTCCCTCCTATCCACCGCCAAAGGCCAAAGCCCATCTCCCCACTTCTTCACCTTCTTCCTTCGACCCACCCCCTGCATCTGCATGCCTCAATTCCAGACCCATCTAGAAGCTTCTCTTCAATCCCATGACGGAGACCAAACGATCCAGCGGCACCATCAAGTGGTTCAGCGCCAGAAAGGGCTTCGGTTTCGTCGCTCCCGATGACGGCGGCGAGGATCTGTTCGTCCACCAGACCTCCATCCAATCCGAAGGCTTCCGGACCCTCTTCGACGGCCAGGCGGCCGAATTCTCCGTCGATTTCGCGGAGGACGGCCGCTCCAAGGCCGTCGATGTCGCTGCCATCTCCAGATCTCGCCGCCCTCCTCCGCGCGGTGGCGGAGGCAGGGGATTCCACGCCAGGAGAGGCAGAGGCGGCGGAGGCTACGGAAGAGGGATGAGAGGCGGTGGCCGGTCCGGTGGAGGTTCTGGATACGATTACGACGCGGGTACGGGGATGGTGGTGGTGGGGGCGGCGGGGAGTGTTACAATTGTGGGCGATTTGGTCATTTAGCTAGGGATTGCTACAGCGGCGGCGGAAGAGGAAGCCGAAGGTACGGCCGCGGTGGTGGATATTCCGGTGGGAGAGGCGGAGGCGGAGAATGTTACAGGTGTCGAATCTGGAATCAAGAGGGAGAGAGAGTCGTCGGATCGGGTTCTGGGTTCGAGAAGGAGAAGGAGTCACCGGATCGAGTTCTGGGTCTCCACAACGGCAGCGGCGGCGGCGACAGAGGAGTTCAGAAAGGCGCTGGCTGGGCGAGCAGCAAATACATCGCTCCTGCCCTCTCTCCGGTGACGGCATGGTCCATATCAACAAATCGAGAAAGTGATGAGGGGATTTCATAGAGGAAGAGGGGTGAACTGATCGACAGGGGAGGGTTTTTGCATGTATCGGTATACTCGGTTATACCGAGTAACCGACGGTTACTTACCGGCTATGGGTCGGTATACCGACAGCTGGGTTTCGTCTGCCCTAATACCGATACCGCCGGTTAACGGTTAACCGGTAACCGCCGGTTATCAGTACGGTTATCGGTTAAACCGTTAACCGGCTTACCGGTTACCAGCCCTAATATAATATATAAAAGCCAAGGTTTGGTTACTATTCATTAGTGGCTCCCACACTCCTCTTTGCAAGTGGGCAAGTTTCAAGTTCCATCTTTTACCCCTCTCCCATTCTACAACCTTTGTGTTCATTTATTGGGTCTAACATCTATTGTCCATAAGTTTTCATCTAGGACTTTGCTACGGTAACATGTATGTCACTGTGACATGGACTTTTCGGTCGACCTAATCCTAAAGGAGGTCGACCGAATTGACTAATTCAGTTATGTGAGGTTCAGAGATGCGGCCGACCGTCTATATAAAATGGTCGACCTTTTTGGGGGTCGAACAAAATGAAAGGTCGACCCAAATACCTCATAGGCCGACCCTTTTGCACCTAATAGGCCAACCACATTCGTACGAGGTTGACCGCATGCACACCGTATCCGTATTTGAAAAGGATTCCAACACAGAAAGGTTCCACAATTGGACAAGAAAACGAATTGGGTCGACCCAATTCATCCTAAATCTCTATAAATACGAATATAAGTCTCCTTCAACGCCACCAAAATTCCGAATTAGGTTTCTTTTTGATTTAGAGCCTTTGTGAAGAAGATCGTTCGCGGTTGCTGTTGTACGTGTTGAAAGTGGTCGACCACTTCGAAGGTGAGGTCGAACTAATGTAGCATTCGCCGTCATCTTCTCTAATGCGTGATTTCCACAGTCTAATTTGATATATTGTTGCGTGCAGAATACCATTCGGTCAACCTTTATCTCAACCAGGTTGACCTGACGAGACAATTGTTCGGAATTGAATTTAGGGCAGAACACTTGGACTTCCGTACTTGCGAGGTAACGAAGATAAACCCAATAGGTCGAACTAATGTGTTTCAAGGTCGACTGTTTCTGTTTGTTTTGGTTGTTCAACCTGAATGTCGACTTTGGCTTTGTTTGTAAGACTATGTTTTGCTTCAAAAGGTTGGCCGCTCAAGCTATCTGGTCGACCTATCCGTCTTTTGGTTTAATATTACACTTGCTTTTGTTGGTGAATTATTATTTTCTTGCTGGATAGGGTGACCTAGGAAGATCAAAGGTCGACCTGAAAGGTTCTGGTAGTCACAATGTATTCCAGGTCGGCCTAATAATTTGTCAGGTCAACCACGTCTCTGTTTTCGGTCAATTGTAGAAATTTGATGTTGAATTATGATTTGAATTTTTCTTTAAATTGTTTAGACGATGACACATGATGAGAGACTGCATAACGATTTGGGTGAACTCATGAAAGTGTTGAAAGCCACACAAGAGCAACTGGTGATGTATCAAAAACAAGTCAATGACTATCAGAAGTCCATTCGTGATAGAGTGGAGCAATTGTTAGTTCGATTGACAGATATGACTGGGATGATGCATGATGTTTTTGAGAGGCTAGAAGGTGCTATCAAAGAAATAAGTGCAGAACGAATGGAGAATGGAGGAAGAGATGGTACAAGAAAGAAATTTGACTTTGATAAAGAGGAGGAAGACCATGATGACTCTGCAAATTGCTACCAGAGCATAGACTATTTATTGAAAGAGTACAATTTAAAGGTAGACAAGTATATTCATATGTGATTGAAGATATTAGTATTACTATCATTAGTGCTTATTTGTTTTGTTTAAATGTTTGACAGAGTGAAACAACGTTTGGCAGCAAGGGTTCCTCTCCTAAGTATAAGATACCTCGATATGAAAGTGACTCCTACACCACTCCACAGAAGGATCATTTTGTAACAAAATGATTATTTAGTGCTGATAGCGACGAAGATGAATATAAAAGTCCTTTCGAAAAGAACAGAGTAACTTTACGTTACATATTCATCTATAATGTGTGTTTGTGTTCATATGTTACTTTAATTTTAACTATGATTTGTAGGTCATGAAAGTGGAGGAGGGCCTAGAAGGATTCACCAAAAATATTCAAAATCCAGTCGAAGACTTGTATTATGTTGTTACTAAAGAGAAGGCTGGGGATGCGAATTGGGACAAGTAAGAGACTTTTTTTTTAGTACATGTGGTCGACCGTTTAGCCAATCAGGTCGACTGTTTAGCCAATCAAGTCGACCTGTACGTTGTAAATCAAAATTGCATTTGTGTTATTTTGATTTTTGCAGTTTGACCTTTGTTGACTTTTTTTTTTCTGAAAACGTGCAACGAAATTATTTAAGTTCGGTCATTAGCGAGAGTAGCTGGATTTGCTCATCCGTAAGTACTATACTGCTACTACTTTCGTATGAATTGTGCACTATTTATGTTACAATTTACGAGGATTTTGTGTTTGATTGTTGGTTGGTAGGTAGTGGATTTGTGTGCAAGGGCACTAACAATGTCTGAAAAACATGATGTGAAAGAGCCAAATATGTGGTAAAATATGTTTTCGGTAAGAGCCGTGATGTTAAATTATTTGTCATAACCTAGTTATTAAAATATGGTGCAGGAAATGGATGATGGCGTGGTGTTTGTGTCTAATGTTAGTGCATGCCAGAAGGTTAGTCAATGTCCCTATCTCATTAAATTTCGAAAGTGCATTTGTTTGTATTCTCTTTTTATAACATATAGTGAGTGTTTCATTGCTAGATATTTATGCCAGTTCTTGACGATGAAGCACGTCATTGGTTTCTGTATCTCGTCAATGTCCAGCAAAAGAGAGAAAGAGTTCAAATAAAAAAGAAAAGAAATGAAGTCATTAAGTTACAATGTCGCATTATTTAGACAATACGTTGAATTTGTATATGCGAGATTTTGAATATTTATCGTTTATTAGATTTGTTATACAATTATGGAGGTCAAGGATTTTACGATTTTAATCGTCTAGAACAAGTGGTCGACCACATACTCAAAGCGGTCAACCCCGTAGGCAGAGCACAGATCAACCTCGTGACGCTTAAGGTCGACCTATGATACCGTAGCAAAGTCCTAAACAATGTGGAATAAGGACGGAGTCCCGTCTGTTTCGCCTTAATAAAAAACGGTCGACCATTCGTGTAAAGAGGTCGACTTGTTTCGCATTTATCAAAAATGGTCGACCATTCGTGTAAAGAGGTCGACCTAAATGGTTCGGATTAGGTTTTTACTTCTCCTTGTCCAATTAGGATTTTGCATACTTGTTCTTGCCGAATTATGATTTTATACATCCTTCACCAATTGGGATAAGTGTTCCCCATACAGTGAGGATAAGGAATTCGTCTACATTATTTATAAATAGATGGAAGTCTTAAGACTTTATTCGCACTTCGATTTATGCAATTTGTTGGAGTGAAGTTGTAATCTCATCGCTCTTATTGTGATCGTGTGTTGGTGGCGGTTTATTCTTATTTCGGTAGACCGTATCAATAAGTGGTCGACCTTGTTTGCTAAGGCATGTGTCGTGTGTGCTCGTTAAAGGTGCTCTGTGGTTCACTTTTTCCCTAATTAGGTCGACTACCTAAACCTTTCGGTCGACCGTATCTGTGTAATTATAAGATAAGGTCGACCATACAGTGGATCCTGGTCGACCTCAGCTGTGTAATTTGGTGATAAGGTCAACCGTACAGTTGATCCAGGTCGACCTGACGAGAGCTAATTTTGTATGTATTTGACATTCAATTTGTATTCCGATCATTGCAGGATGGATAATAGAGATGATACAGATGATAGAGATGCTGACAAGATTAACTTCGATGAGGAACCGAAGGATGCTCGAGGAAGATCTATGGATAATCCAGATGATACAAACAATGAAGTGATTGGGGATGATAAGAAAATGGAGGGTGCTGAAGAAGAATTTATGGATGATGAAAAAGCTACCGAATATGAACAACAAATTCCTTCCATGGAGTTCCAAACATTGGAAGATGCAGAGAAATTATGATGCCTATGCTAAAGCAAAAGGTTTAGAGTTCGACGTAGAGATCTTCGAAGGAGTCGTCGAGGAGTAGCAATTGGGAGGTCAGTGGTATGTTCAAGAGAGGGGAATAGACACAAGATACATATAGATAAAGAAGGTCGGACACGAAAACATCGTAAGATGACAAGACATTCTTACAAGGCATCGTATACTGTACGCTTTGATCGGAATAAGAAAATGTGGGTTGTTTCTAAGTTGAGAGGAAGCACTCACATTGTTGCTGCATTGAAGAAGAAACTCAATTCCTTTGGTCTCATCGAAATGTGAGTGAAGGAGACAAGGCTCTGATGATAGGGATGCGACAGTCAGGAATAAAACAACGCAACATTGTTCAGTTCATGAAGAATAAAGTTGGAGGATATGAGAATCTGGGGTACACTCCAAAGGATTTGGATAACGCTGTTCAGAAATCCCGATTGGTTGACGACGATCTAATAGGAGATGTGAACCAAACATTGGGTGACTTTCAAAGTAAACATACCTCTGAAGCAGGCAACTTCTTCAAGTACCCAACCAACGATGAAGGTGAATTAAGCAATCTCTTCTGGTCGGACTCCACATCTAGAGCAGATTACCATTTTTTGGGGATGTCTTGGCGTTCGATGCATGCTACAAGCGCAACAAGTACAATCGACCATTTGTTATGATGGTTGGTGTAAATCACCACCACCGTAACATCATATATGGTTTTGCCCAGTTGGATAACGAGACAATCCCCAACTACGTTGTTTGTTGAATACTTTTCTGGAGTGTATGAACTCTAAGATTCCGTGTTCAGTGATCACAGAGAGATACAAGTCTATGCGTGGCACAATTGCTACTGTTCTGGTTGGAGTGCCTCACCGTCTGTGTATTTGGCATATTGAGACAAATGCGACAA